GACAGGAATGAGCTTGAATAATGACGTGACTGAGTTAGATCGTCAGTACTCACAGGTCAAGCAACACACTAGATCAGTGTCTCCCAAAGTGGGGTCCGCGGCCTCCTGGTGGGCCACGAGGGTATTGCAGGTGGGCCGCAAGAGGTCATAATTATTGTATGTTAAAATAAAAATATGTTGTTTGTAGCATTAAAATATTTGTGTTCATTATTTGACTTGAATAATTAAACTGTAATGATTTTTGTATTACAAAATGGGGTGCGTCATTTACGTGTTTGTAGGCTATCCCAAATAAAATAACGTGAAGAGCCTATTTTTAACGTTGTCTTCTTGGTTATTATTTCGGGGGGCCGCGCAGTCCCATCAGACTTTTAACGGGGCCGTGGTGTTACTGACTTGAATAGCTGCTCTAGATGATAATACATGGATTATAATCAAAGGAGATCCTCTGTGCCTATTTAGTTGGTTAGATAAAACCAAACCTCAACAACAATTTTCCTTTCACAAAACTACAGCTCATGTTGAGAAATTGCCTCAGGAGACATAGATTCTGCTGCCTCAGTATAATTGACAGATGTTTTTTACTACATCAAAAAACAAAATTCTTGACCACTGTAAATAAATGTCCGGTAACCTCACCACTGTCCTTAGATCGTCCTGCAACAAACAAAAAATAAAGCTCTGGGGAAAAAGCCAGAAACCTTGGGAAGGTAATCTATTGATCTGTAGTTTTCACAGCATTCTCATGTTTTATATGTGAATATGTAGGAATAAGTAGGGCAGGGCCTGGATAGTACAGTGATGGGAGAAACCCACGTTGTTTCAGAGACACAGGCAGTGGGGGTGAACTGATACATTGGCAGCTTAATGTGTGTGTGCATGTGTGTGTGTCAGGGAAAGCATCCTTGGTGTCATCAATAGCACAGTATGGGAATTAGATAGCTATATAATTGATTTGGCCTTCTGTAAGTCACAACGACCCGAGTGTGTATCTGCTATGAGTGTGTGTCCGTGTTTTGCTCTTTCAATGTCTTATTATTTTCTGGTTGTCTTGTTAGTATTAGATAGCAATATGGCCTAAGTGCAGGACTGTACAAGGACTCTGATTATTTTGACTATGATGTGACTGTCTCTGTGTGACACGTACGTCTTTCGATGTGTGACGTGACAATGACTATATAAACTGTGTACTGCCTTCATTCTGTCTGAGAGAAAGAAACAATTGAAACCCAGACAAAATGGAGTCAGTACACAGTTTATATAGTCATTGTCACGTCACACATGGAAAGACGTGTCACACAGAGACAGTCACATCATAGTCAAAATAATCAGAGTCCTTGTAGAGTCCTGCACGTAGGCCATATTGCTATCTAATACTAACATAACCAATAAGTAATGTACATTTTACTCAAGCAAAAAAAGATTCAATTTAAGTGACTGACTTCTGAGTACTAGTATCATGACTAAAATGTTAATATGTTTTGAGAGAAATGATAAAAAAGTCCAAATACCACTGTTTCCTTTAATGCTGCCATGTGCCTCAATGCCTCTGAAAGGGTTAAACATGAGTGGCTACAATAACACAGATGTCTCAAAGTGCAGATCTTGAGCACATACCTGGAGCTTCAGAGGTGATTTATCCTACGGGCAGCTCCTCTGAATTCCATCTCTGACTCGGAGAGGATAGGCCCAGACAAACTGTTCCAACACGCCTGCAGCGCGTCATTAAACTCTGTTCAGACAAGGATTTGAGCTTTCTTAGATGTGTTACGTAAGCCAGGGTTTAACATGAACCCATGGGAGTCACTTGGACAAGTTATGAAATGACAAATATACAGTCTTATGTTGTGTTTGGTTCCACTTAAGTCCGGTTGTTTGATTTTTATTGTTAATAGACATACTTAAAAGACACATGTGGAAAATCGACCTCACAGAGACGGCATCTGTACGCACCAGAGCCATCAGGAAGGTTTTTCTCCGTTTTTTTCAGACAGAAGAAAGTCAGGACAAGCTTTTAATAGTTGATGTTGCGTCACACATAGAAAGACATACGTGTTACGACATTTGTTCTGATTGTCTCTTGATACGACACGTATGCCTTTCTATGTGTGACGTATCTGTGACTTAACAATGACTATAAAAACCATGTCCTGACTTTGTTCTGTCTGAACAAAAAACCCTGAAAACCTGAAAGAAACTGAGATTAAACTTCCAGGTGCTCTGGTGTTTAACAATCCCGTCTCGGTGAGGTAAATTTTTCATAAAGGATACACAATCAGAGCAGATATACAGTAGAGACCAAAAGTTTGGACACACTTTCTCATTCAATGAGTGTTCTTTCTTTTCATGACTATTGACTGTAGAATCACACCCAGGCTGTGTAAGGGCTGTTTGACCAATAAGGAGAGTGATGGGTGCTGGGCCACATGACCTCCACAGTCACCGGACCTGAACCCAATCGAGATGGTTTTGGCCCTGAACCCAATCGAGATGGTTTTGGACCTGAACCCAATCGAGATGGTTTTGGGGTGAGCTGGACCACAGAGTGAAGGCGAAAGGAACAACAAGTGCTAAGCATCATGGGAACTCCTTCAAGACTGTTTGAAGACCATTTCAGGTCTTCTTGAAGCTCATCCAGAGAATGCCAAGAGTGAAGCAGTATCAGAGCAAAAGGTGCTACTTTGAAGAACCAGAATATAACACATATTTTCAGTTGTTTCATACTTTTTTTTTAGTACGTACATAATTCCACATGAGGTAATTCAAAGTTTTGAGGCCTTCAGTGTGAATCTACAATTTTGATAGTCATGAAGATAAAAAACTCTTGAGATGGGTGGGTGTGTCCAAACTTTTGGTCTGTACTCTACAACCAGAATCCTTGTGACTTACACAAGGCCAAATCTCATGTGTAGCTTGTGTACAGTATCTATTTCCCATCGGTTCTATGTGTTTGCATTTCTTGTGTGAACTGTTGATTCTCTGATCTGTGTTGGCGAATTCAACTATTTTGTAAAGTCCTCCAAGAACTGCTGTTGTGATTTAGAGCTATACAATACATTGAATTGAATTGAACTTATTTGTGATAATCCATATGTTTGCCTAACAGAAAAGGTTTATTGAGAAAAGAGGCCATGGCATCATTGATTTCACACACTTACAACCCTCAGTTTATTTCCCAGATTTGCCAGATATAACAAAAAAAGACAAAAGACAAAAATAAGTCTTTTATATGATTTATATCTCTGTGCATAAGAATAGAAATGAGAATTGTTTATTAGTAATACAGATGGCCTTAGATTCTTGATTCTTTGGAATATTCTTCATCTTTGTCCTAAATCAAAAAAATGCAGGTCAGATTCCATAAATCTTGCAAATGTAACATTTTATCAAAAGATCAAACAGAATAATAAGTATTTTTAGAATACATTCTTTCTTATGCATAAGTGAGTGAAAGTTAGGTATCCCAGCTTTAACTCAACAGAGACCTACACTTTTCTGGCTGGTTCTTACATACAGTATGTGGTGCTTCCTGCCCTTGTTGAAAAGACATCAGACTGGAAGGTGCCTCGTTTGTCCAGTACACAAAGGTGAGTTTGGAAGGGTAGAGGTGTCTGGTGCACAGCATGAACCGCTCTGTGCTGTTTTGAAATGAAAAGACTGCTGTTAGAGGGGGACTTTGTGTAGCTCTGAAATTCATGAAGTGGTTAGATCTGAAGTCTGACTCCACCACATCCCTCTCTCTCTCTCAGGTGGAGCTGGGGAGGGGCGGCTGACAAATGGCCTCGTCAGATCGGGCCTATTGTCCACTATTGTCGGAGATAGACCTGAAATCAAATGAGGCTCCTAATCTCTGTGATATCATACAGGCTGAATACACAAAGACATGGGCAGGAAGCAGACCCCTTTGTCTGGCTCCTCTCTTGATCAACATGTCTCAAATACAGAATATCGTGCTGTTCTTGAATCTATATGTTTGAACGTATGATGTTGCAAAATAGTGTTTTGCAATAGAGTAATTTTAACAGCACTATGAGTTGCTTTGTTTTTTGCCAAGCCAAAACAAGTTTCAATAATAGTTAATAATACGTAAACTCTCTCATAAACAATTTTTTTTTTCAGAACTGATTGATGTCCTTTCTTGCCAACAATTCAACACATACACACACACACACACACACACACACGTTAGTCAAATAGATATGCCAACTACTTATGCAAATATTACAAATTATTGACACACAATTCATGAACCTTAAGTCAGAGATGCGTTGATAAAAGCATGAATGAATGAATGAATATTGACATTCTGTATGCAATGAGTCAAATCTCCACACAATCAGATCTGCAGTAGACAGATCACCACAAAGGCCCACATTCAGCCTAGTTCTCACCTGGCCCCCACTGTCTGGATCACAGACCACCCCCAAATAAGTGACCAATCGAGTTCATGGATGGCCCTTACTAATGTCACAGGGGCCACTTCTCCCACTTCAGTTTCCCCTCTCACTCTCACTATCTGCACAGAGCTGTGGTTTTGGATTCTTGGGAGATGCACGCTTCTGGTAAGTTTGCAACAAGATAATTAGGGCAATGAAGTACACTTGAGTTGAGGTCACTTCAACCATCTTAAACACATCTTCTTTATAGGCGACTTTTGTCTTATTCTAATCATTTGAGTAAGACAATTCTTGTTCTTATCTCAACTGTCCTGATCGCTTTTTGTCTCCAATACGGAACATATATTATTGTTATGCTTGAAATATTGCTTATTTGTGGAGGATTTTAGTGCTTATGCAGTGAGGACACTCACCTCTCCACAGATACGACTTGTCACTTAACAAAAATAAGTCATTTGCTGGTTTCCAATTTAGATGTAACCATGTAAATACATATGCAGGAAAAACAACACTTAGAAAAAAAATTGACAACAGGACAGTTGATGAATGCGTCTTTAAGTCAAACAATTTGACGCTTGTTTAATGTTTTGAATGATGTCACAGATTCCACACCACGGACTCCTCCGACCAGTGAGGCCTTCCAGCACGGCAGCATCAGGATGAACTTGGAAAACTCAGATCTGTGGAAGTCATTTCATAACATCGGAACAGAGATGATTATCACAAAGCATGGGAGGTAACGTATCCATAGCAACATAGTCCACTCCACTTGAGCATGATCACAACATACATGATGGACCATGAGTGACGGGGCATTTAACAGAGTTTCGAACAAGCCTTTTTGTTTTCACCAACAGCTGTAACGCAAGGTTGTGTTATTAATGTTAGGGCTTTTTTCAGTAACAATACACTGCCTGATTATTCATCCACAGCAGGACAACACACCAGATCTCATGGACATATTTGAGTTCCATTTCTAGTTTGGACCTCTCTGCTCTACGAACAGTTTATTGTTCTGTTATAACAGTGCTTCTGTCTTATAGGAGAATGTTCCCTCACTGCAGTGTCAGCGTCTCCGGCCTCCAGCCTTTCGCTAACTATGTCATCATGGTGGATATGATTCCTGTGGATGGTTACAAATACAAGGTTAGCTAATTCAAATATATTGCCAATTCCAATTGCTCTGCTTATTCAGGAAACAGGGCTCTAAATCAACAGACAGTGGCCAGACACTGGTTTGTCGACTTTGGCCAGCAGAGGCTGCATTTCAAAGCCTTTCAATGCTTCCTGTTTGTGTACTCTCGGCTGGAGGCCCAATCCATTAGCATCTCGGCTCATTTGCAATCATTAAACAGGGAGCAGCCAGTTGCCCATACATTCAAACGGCCCATTTGGCCGAATCCTTTAGCACATACTTGAAACAATGCAACTATACAGTCAATGGAAATAGGCTGATTCAGAATGTGCAGCTGCAGCCAGCATTGTGAGCAAAATATTGCTAAAGGCCAGTATAATATTGTGTTGTGATCAAACTAACGATGTCTCCTTAAAGTGGAAGAAGGAGAAGTGGGAGGTTGCAGGAACGGCCGAACCACAGCCCCCTCGTAGGACTTATGTACACCCAGACTCTCCCTCCCCAGGAAGTCATTGGATGAAGCAAGCTCTTTCTTTTCTTAAACTGAAACTGACAAACAACACATTGGATCAGCATGGACATGTAAGTCCCAATTTGACAACCATAAAAGTGTTTTCATTTCAATTTGCATGTGATCATCCACATTAGAACTAATATGTAAAGGTTTAGTATCATATATGATGAAGGCTCACCCGGATTTAGACCCTCACTATCCTGTTTAACGGTTTCTTAGTTCTTAGATCAGTGGTTCTCTACCTGGACTGCAAAAAAATATAATGCACTACCATGACCCAAACAAGGACTGAATTTAGTAAATAACTCAGACTCTGGAGTCAAATAAAAATATCATAAAGCAAGTAACTAAGTGATCTGCCAATAGGCCTTGTTTTAAGTGAATATGTATAATCTTTTAATACATTTAAGTTCACACATATGAATTTTACCATCTTGAATTAACTTCTCTCTAGGTTAGTTGTTTTGCAGATTAATACTTGTTTCCCAGGAAAGACCCACCATGAACCTGTTGGAACTATGACGTAAAAATGAAAGATCTACTGTCATAACTCTTTATCTTTATCTTCATCCACTGTTTAGATCATTCTTCACTCCATGCATCGGTATTTCCCACGCTTCCATGTGGTCCAAGCTGACAGCCTGTACACTGTGCGATGGGGGCCCTTCCATACCTTCTCCTTCCCTGAAACCACATTCACAGCAGCCACAGCTTACCAGAACCCAAAGATCACCAAACTCAAAATCGACCACAACCCATTCGCTAAAGGCTTTAGAGAAGGAGGCACCCATTCACATAAAAGGTGAAATGCAAATTACTTTTTGATCCATGGTCCGGCATGTTCAGTAAAACATGTATTAAAAAGTGTTGAGCTATTTATCACAGAATGCTGCCAATATTTAATTCCATGTTGATTGGTCAATGATGAAAGTCATTTGCATAAAAGTGGTTTAGAAAGGGAATTGTATAGCGTACACATGGACCTATGAAAATAACAGCGCAGCGCTTTTTTGGTCACATCTCATTAACTCCATATTCAATCCAATCCACTTTATTCATATAGCACATTTAATAAACAAGCAGTTTCCAAAGTGCTGTATAAAAAGCAAAAAATGACAACAAATAAATAAATACACACATGTATATAAAAATAAAATAAGTAGAATAAAATAAAAACACAGAGGACCACACGACTCACGCGGTGATAAAAGCCAGAGAATTAAAGTGGGTCTTAAGACGAGACTTAAGACATTCCAACGAGGGAGCTGTTTTAACATGGGGGGGGCAGAGCGTTCCAGAGCCTTGGTCCAGCCACAGAGAAGGCCCTGTCCCCCCGGGTTTTAAGCCTCGTCTTAGGCACCACGAGCTGGAGCTGGCCCTCGGACCTCAGCGCACGGGGCGGGTGGTGAATTTGGATGAGGTCCGAGATGCAAAGATGATCATACACTGTGATGATAAACTACTACTGCAGCCACAGCTGCCCTGGGCACACTAACAGAAGCGAGGCAACCAGAAAAACAATCTTAGTTTGTGTAAAAGTTAACTAAATAAATATGACCAAAAATCAGAATCTATAGTTTTATAATCATTGAGACATAATTTATGAGAACATTAGTCGCTGAGCTGTATTTTATGTCCAGTCAAGTTTTTTTTCCCTTAAATGTTTTCCAATGAAAGACCAATATATAGGAAAAAGTCAACCAGAAACAGGAATTGAGAGTTCGCATTTGCTATAACTCAGTTGCATCAGTTTCTTCTGTAACTATGTTTGACTGCATGTCTCGAAATAAATAGATGAATATATAAATGTGTGATGATGTACAGCCTTGTCTTACTTATCTGTTCAGATTCAGTTGTGACCATTATCCATTTATTCTATTTATTTGTGTTGTGTTAGTATAAACCTGCCTTCATTTGAGGCACAACAATGAAATATAGATTACCTTTATTACTGCATGTTTTATTTTCTCCCTAGATTCCGGGCACAAAGAAGTCCATCTGGAAGTCCCTCTACTAAAAAACAACCTAAACCCACCCTGGAAAGCCCACAAAGTAATATTGAATGCAAATAGTCACAAATTAGACGCACAAATGGAAATGGCAGACATGTGTTGTTTCTCTCCCCAGGCCTGCAGAGGATGCCATCACACACAGAGAAGAAGAGCCCTCCTCCCACAGAGCATCTGCAGAAGGAGGGCCACATCTCCGTCTGGCCCCCGGAGCAGGACCCCTCTGACAGGCTGGATATGGAATACGACTACAGCTGTGAGGAGCAAATGGTCCCTGCGTCCCAGCCATACAACTCATTCAGGTATAAGATGCAGAGATGTGAACAACAACAATGTGTGCTCTATGAGGACTGTTGTGATGAGTGTCATTCCCAAGTGAGTTCTCCCTCTAACGCCTCATACTGTATCTTTACCAGGTCTCTTGAATACGGCCGTTACGCTCCGTACCCCGGCGGTGAGACTGAGGTACCCCACGACCAGCTCCCCACAAGTCACCACCCGTACTACAGCAACACAGCAGACTGGAGCCAGCACCCCCTCTTCTCCTACTCCTGCTGGTGACCTGTGCAAGAAAAGACAAAGACAATGGACTCTTTCATAGAGAGAGAATTGTGTGTACAAAAATGTATAAAAAACACACACAAAAAACAAGTTCAATTTGAATAAGTTGTTGTTTTAACGGCAGTATCCATAAGCTCTGGAAGTGAATACCACCTTTAATAGAATAGATTTAATTTGTAATGCAATGTTAACAATAGTTTTGAACGAAATACTCTGCCTGTTTATGCCGGAACCTTTCAACATTCAGAAAAATAAGATTATAACCATGAATTATTTGGGAGCTAAGGCACTCCAGTGAAAAAAAAAAAAAGTGTTTTACCTTTTACCTGATTGTATAAGTAATTAGTAGTCTTTCTCATATATATATCATCATGTTTCTCACACCACGCTAATTTATCATCATAAAGAACATCTGTCCTTCTGTTTTAAACATCTAAAACCATTCCACAATCCTTGGAAAAGTCTGGTATCTGGAGTTCAGTCAGAAGTTAAAAGTATGATGTAATGTTACTGTAATACATATAGAGTTAGTTTATAAGCCTCATTCTCACAACAGCAATCTCTCCCCACTGTCTAACTCAACCGCCACAATAGGTTCATATTCCTCCATAATATCCCATCTGTTTGAATCCCACATTTATTTGCTGTTTAGGGGCCTTCTGTAGTCATTTGCGGTACACGACACATTTGGAACAGAAGATATAATTGACAGGACAACATTCAGCATGTCGTTATCGCCGCCCGTCTGACTGGCACAGCGTCCTCAGCATAAGGCAGCGAACGTCTGTGCTTTAAATCTTTTACGAGAGAGAGAGGGAGAAATGTGGGACACGAAGAGCCTGAAGGAAGCAGACAGCATAATCTGAGCACGGCGCACAGTAAACACAAATGCATGTAGGAATTGTCCGAAAAGCTTTGCAACTACATTAAAACGTGATGATGGGCTGGGTAACAAAAAGAAGTAAAAGTGTGTAATCATATCCATCAAAACAGTTCCATTACTAGTTTTTATTTGCATGCGTTATTGGCTACTGTCACATCTTTCCGTCGGCGCAAATGTTTCATAGTCTTCATATTCTTTGACAAAAAGTCTTAGGGATCTAATAATTACAACTACAATCCGTATCTTTCTGCCTCTGACGCATGTAGCCGCTAAACACTGATTAAATGATCTGCTGAATCATCAAGATGAATAAATAAGAATAACTGCTTTCAACTTTTGCATAGAAAAGGTCAAATATGTGTTAATGTGACCGGGTTATGTGAAATATGTAGATGCATACTGATTGTTAAAGTGCCATCTTGTGAATCTCATCTTTGGGGTTTGATAGCTGAGCCCAATATTACAAAGTGAAATCAAATAAACAGTTACCGTTTCTTAATTATCAAAAGGTTAAGGTTTAACCACAATGCCACCCAGCCGTCTGTCAGGAGCAGTAGTTACTAGAGTACAGCACTTCATACCCAGATGTTAATGCTTGGTTTGGTCAGGATTACCAGAGCTGGAGACTTTGACCTAAAAGTGATGAGTTCATTCAAAGAAGACAGTTGGCAGTTGATAATTTAAATGGCATTTTTACCCATTTTTGTTATGACATTAAAATCACTGCACGTTTTGACCCAGAGGGGTTCTGGGGTTCTCGGGTTATCTAGTGAAGCTTCTTGGCTAATTCTCCATTCTTCTTACTTCATTATAATCTAAAGGAGAGAGCACAGATGGGGTCAATTAGCGTGCCCGAGTTGTAATTCTGGGAGCTTTATGCATTCTTCCGCGGTGGCTCCACAGTAAGGTCAGAAAGTCACTGTGAGAGATGGTCTGAATTATAAAGCCAGGTTGAATTGATTTACATTTAAATGGGAATTGTGAAATTGCTGTCTGTCACATTGTCCTGATAAAGATTTATAATTCATGTCGGCAAAAAGATAGATTTATTAAAGCAACTTTTTTGTGTACAAATGGACCACATGCAGTCATAAAAGGCAAACAAAAAAACAGGCTTGTAATTCTGGAAGACAGACGTGGACCTACGAAACAAATGTAGATTTTTGCTAACTCATTTTGGTCTGGGGTTGAATAAAATAATATAAGTGTACTATTTAAAAGTATAAACATAGATTCCAGGCCATGGTAGCAAATGCCTCTAAACATCAATTCTTGCAAGTAATAGAAAAACACCTAAGCACTTGCCTTTTCAATGATGCAATACACCCCTAGTTGGCCTTAATTTACTGCTTTGAAAGTACAGATTTCTTTTTTAAATTCTCATCTAATTATAAAACTAGGTTAATCTAGTGCTCTTATCTTTGCTGTAGAATGGGAAATGCCCTGACAGCTGTGCATATGCTACATTGATTCAAAGTCTGGCTTAAGAGCAGAAATGTGGACGAGGTTTTATAAAACGCTACTATATATGGAGCCAGTGCGTACAAATGTGCCACTGCTGCTGGATTGTAGTGTTCAGTGTGCTCAGGGCTGTGAAGCTAATGGACGATAGGGAGGCCTCTATCGACTGTGGCCCAAAATGAGAGGGACCGAGCCCTGGGGAGAGGTCAGACCGGCTTTGATTCATTGAGTCATTCTACAGCCACCCAGTAACAGCAGAGAGCACAGGTTGATTTTAACAGCCCATGAGCCTCAGATGGAAAACACAAACGGCACAGAGAAGCGGTATGCTTTGACAATAAATAGTGAAAATCGATCAAAAGAAGTAAACAAGAAAATAAAGAAATGGGTTTGGAGTATATGTGTTTGTGTGTATGTGTGTATGTATGTATATATGTATGTATGTGTATATATGTGTGTGTGCATGTGTATACATTCGTACACATATATACTTTGTTTTTTTTTGTTTTTTTTTACTTGAAGTTATTTTTCCCTTTTTAGGAACATGCTTACTTATTTACCCTTTTTACATAGCCAAACATAACTCTACGAGATACACCTGGAGACGAACTGGGGAGGGAGGGTGGTAGTGGGAGGGGGGGTTGTGTGTATATATAATAAAAAAACACGCACATAGACTGTACTTGCTGTCAACAACTGTAAATGCATCTAATTGTGTGTATAACAAACAATAAAAAAAAACAACAAAAAAAAAAAGAAATGGGTTTGGAGATACAAGGGCAGGAATCTAGCTGGTGGAGCGCAACTTTTTGATAGATAAGTTGTTTTAATTACAATATTCCTCAGTATGGCATTCATTCAATTCCATTAATTATAGCCCTACATCACAACAGTAGTCACCTCAGAGGGCTTTACAATGTTGACCATGCCTCAACAACAGATCAGAGACTCACACATATCAAACACAGGAAATGTTTTGGTTCATTGGGGGCGAGATGGCACATAAATGTCCAGGTATGTAAGAGGATTTTCTACTGCCGGGTGGATCATCAAGACATCATCAATTGTCAATCATTCTGGTGATCAGTGCTCGTCAAATAAGACCAGAGAGTTTTGTTTAAAAAAGGAAGGGCGATTCTTTTGAAAAATTTGGGATAATCCTCCTATAATTCTTTCAGTGTTGTGAATCATCAGTGTCCCTAGAGACCATCCTGCATCGACACGAAACGACTCAAAAAAAAAGGTAGTTTAAAATATCAGTGAGACCCTTATCTGCAGACGATCTAATATGCGGCTGGACACTTGCTGCCACTCAGAGGCGCGGTTGCATTGTGGGTAATGTGCCACTCTTGCTTGAAGGCCAGATTTGTGTGGTGTATGTCCTGTATAGATTCCCCCGCATCGCAGTAGTGGATATCTGCAGCTCCTTCTGTTTTCAAAGGCCACTTAACTGCATCTTTGAACAGTGCTGACTAATTTGTTATAAATAGCTACAGTATGTTTTGGTAGGTTTGCAGTTGTGCCAGGCTCTTTCCATTTCCAGATGATGGATTCAGCAGTGCTCTGTGAGGTGTCAGAATATTTGTACGTATATCCTAAACTGTTCAGTACTTTCATTTGAAAATTCTGCAAGGGTTGGTTGCACTCTAGTTTGTCTTTCCAAAATCTATCTATGCTTTGTGGCATTATTATGTCCATAGCTGCAACTCACAATTACGACATTTATTATTAAATTGTCACTTCCCTGTAGTGGCATTCTGGGCATATCTTCCCGCAGGTAGAGGCCCAAGACACCAAAGATGGAACATTGAAAATACTAATAAATGTCTCTTATTTTCCACTATCCACTGAAATCCTCTTGACTGTAGTTCTGAATAAATAACAGTCAGGTGGAGAGGCCATGTGAGGCACTGGCCTTGAAAACTTCTGTGTCCCCATATGGAGGTCAGCTGGCGTACTTTTATTAGAATTTCATTAAAATTCATTAATTGCTTCCTTTCTCCTGGGTCAGAGGCATAACTGGAACTGTCAGAAAATAGTCCAAGAAACATGCTCTAAATGTGCGAACCCAGACACCACACAGCACAAAACAAGCAGGAGGCCAGCGTAAAGAAGTAGACATAAATTTTATTTACTTGTTCTGTACATAAAGGGTCAATACCAGCACAGGTGTTAACCGTGGACAATATTAACACATGTAAATGTTATAAGAAAATAAAAGGCACAATTATTAATTCTTGAGTAAAACGCAGGCTTTCCAAGAATGAGCAAAAGCACAGTAATACTGTTAATGCCATGTTAAAACAGCAAGAACGACAAAGCAGATTCACTTCCAGAATAACGTGTATTGCTTTATCATGTCATGAGGACCCCCAACGTTGTTCATTTTACAGACTGAGAAGTGTTACACAGGGGGAAAACATTTCAGACAGTGACAGTGAGCAGCATTTGGCCTTGAAGAACCATCTCCTCAGCCAAGAGGTCATGCACAGAGGCACCCAGCAGGCATTCTCCCTTTTCAAAATGTCACTTTTTACACTTTCATAATCACTGTTCGGGTTCAAACACATTTCATCAAACAAAAGGCAGGGTCTGGATTTTGCAGAAATCAATCACTCCTCAGTTTCAAAATTAGAAGTTACAAGGCCGTCAAATCTGCTCACTTGCTTAGAAATACATGATCCAAGTGAAAGGACAAACCAAACAATCATTCTCATCATAATGAGAAAAGTAAAACCAGGTCACTGGACTAGGAAAAAAAACGATTGGACTTAAGTCATAATAGCAGTTTTGTCTGTGTTGTATTTTATGATACGCGCAGGAGAATGCTGCTGCAGTTGTTTTGTGAGCTTGGCACTCCTAATGAAAGTAAAATGCATCTACTACTAGTGCTTGTATACATTTTTCCTGATCTCAAAGCAATGTGCATTTCTGTGTATCTTCAATATGCCTCGGTGGTTTCCCTTTTCAGAAATGCTAATATTGATAATGTGGCACAAAATACTTAACATGGCAAGTGGCTGTTTTAAAGTGTCTTCAGTAAAACCAGTAAAACTATGAGGTCAACCCAAAATATGTATTCACACGGTTACAGTTGATGAACTGTATTTCTGATGCCAGACATCAGATCATGAAATACAGAAAAGTAACAAAAAAACTGGATGTTAGATTGGTATTGTCAATAAAAAATAAACATACCCCATTTTAAACCACAGTTCTTCCATAGTGCCTGGCTACACATACCTGCATGGATAAAAAAACAATAGATTTCTAGAGGACCATTATTCAGGACAATTAAAGAGTGACAAAGTTACCATTTGGTGCATCATTGCTCTTTTGATAAATTCATTTCATAATTTGGTAACTTGTATTGGTGTTTTCTAAGACAAATATCCCAAAATTATGGTTGATATATATATATTTTCTTTAAGGGGAACAGATGAAAAAGATCAATCTGAACTAGAACATGCCTCGTTCATATTGAACAGAAATCATCCTGAATGAGAACTTCCTACATCCCATCTGCACACCAATTTTAGCTAAACCTGTCCAGTAGTTTTTGCACAATCCTGCCTACATTTGCAATGGCATTACCTATTGACAGGAGAGAACCAGGTTATAAGTAACCAGTTTTGCTCTCATTTGACTAGAAAAACCATCATAGCCTGTATTGCTTGCATATAGATATTCTACCCCAGCCCTGATGCCCCATTGGCTACAGCTGCCCAGTTTTAGACCAACATTGCTAAAGAAACAAACTGGCAAACCAAATGTCTTTCTGGCAACCCAAATGACAATTCTGCAGTCTAGATGCAGCTGTGGAAGCAACATAAAAACATGAACCCTTTAGGCTCCAAAGATATTTCAGAAATGGTTGCTCCATTGTTCGTGCAAGAATTAATCTACATTGTCATTTTAAAAGCCAAATATGTTCACTGTGTCTGGGGGAAACAAATGTAGCAGCAAAGTATATCTATGTAAATTAAGATAAGATAACAATGTTGGGTGTAACAACGCTTTGACTATCAACAATTTTCAGTCCGCCGCAACGCTACTTTCTTTCTCATTCCACATTGTGACAGCATGAGGCTGGTCGCTAGTGGCATGAAGACAAGCAACAATGGCAAGTGCAAAGCAACCAGTGACGCTAATGTTTGAGGAATGGAGGTATTCCCACTACTTTGAACTTGTGGAGAGTAAGGGGAGGAACTGTTAGGGCTAGCCTATGCCATCTGATGGTGTCTAATGTTGTGTAGTGGTTGTGTTTAAACCTACGACCCATGTGTACATGCCATGTGACAATTTTGATAGAAAAAAAGAATGAAAGAAACCTGTTATGAACAAAAGAACAGTTTTGATCAAATTCGAGCAAAACACCAGTACCACAAAAGTAATGAGTAACATAATAGTTACAGAAAAAATTAACAGGTTACTTTAAAAAAATTAAGTTACTTTTCTTGTTAGTAGTTAAAAGTAACTTCCCCAACACAGGACAGAAATAAAAACATGCATTTATTATGTTTGTATATGTAGCCAGGCACTTAATTGAATGTTGAGAAAAAAAAAGAATAAAACACTGATGTTTTTATATGTAATGTGGTAAGAATCTATTGTGAACACGCGCACATGCATTTACACTGTACAATCACGCTCACGCCTGAAGGATGAGAACTCAACAGGACACTAATGCAAAAAACAACTCAACACAGAACATTGAAAGTTTGGATCCATTCGCACAAAGCTGTAAACAGTCTGAAAGCCAGGTAATAAGATGGGGAAAGGTCGCAGTCGTGGCACAGTCCTTTAGTATGGCAAGCACGTATCCATGGTGACTGAGGGATGAGGGTGTTCACTGGAGGACGAGTGTCTGAGTTCAGTCACTCTCGTCCGGGTTCTGTGGGTCCAGGATTTTGACGTGGGTGAAAGGAAAGAGCCCCCGCCGTCCGTTCACCTCCCCCTCCCACTGACCATTGATGTTCATCCGAGTCACCTTCACGATGTCGCCCACCTGGGAAGAAGTCAAAATGGAGAAATGAATGGATGAACACCATTTTAAAAAAAAAATTTATGGACACAACATACACAAGCCTGGAGAGAACTGCAATAAACTATGTTATTCAACTAAACCATATTAGTAAATCAAGAACAAACTTTATTAGATAGTTTTCAGTTAGTCAGGATTATAGATGAGCCACGATTAAAGCTGCTGAGCAAATTATTTTCAAATATTGAATACACAAGATGTAGGCCAGAACACTATCACTATAATCAACGGCATGAGAATAGGAGGCCTTTACAAAAAACCAGGTTCTAAAATAAAGATCAAAACTACTCATCTAAACAAAACTAGATTCTACCATATACAGTATTATTCAACACGTCCACAATCTGTATATGTATGTAACTAACACTTTCAAAATCACTTCTGCAATTTTTATCGACAATATAATTCCAAGATTCAGCCTGAAACGATTTGTTTATGCTGTGACTAAAAGAAATGAGCATTGTAGTCTCAGTCTATGCAGATGAGACAGTGGCCACAGTCTCTACATTGTGTGGACTGTGTCAGTATGCACCATTCCTACAGTGAGCACACCATTGACCTAGTATGAATACATGTTTCAACATGAGCACATACTGCACAAACCTGCACTGCCAAACTCCAAGCACAGCAAAAGGGTCTCCCACACCACTTGTGATGAGAATGTATTGATTATACTGTGCTTCCCAACAGTTCTCATTCAAATAAACACTTATATTGTCATACAGTGCCAGTGACGCACAGATGAAACTGATTCAAACCCGACTTTGGCCAATGAGGTGTTCTTGGAGTCACTTCATCCAACAAGAGTTACCCAATCTTTTCCTTTCCATATTTGCTGGTAATACAAACTACCATCTAAGGGAATAAAATACATGACCACATAAAAGGTAAAATTAGAAGCCCAATGTGTTGTTTGTCAAATGGAACATCTCAGTGCTAAATGTTAATGTGAACTAGCAATTTGTTCGCTTTTAATAAAAAAAAACAAAAAATACCTCTAAAGCGAGTGCCGTTTTATCATAGGCACAGGGCACTCGTTTCTGAATGGCTTTGGCCATGACGGGGCCGTTCTGCAGGGATGGGAGAGGGGTGATGACTGGCCCAGGTGTGCCTGGTAGAGGTGATGGCGTCTGGGGCTGAGCATAAGCATGGACCAGGGAGTTGGAGGGCTCAGGAATTCCATAACTGTTGGAGTTGCGTGAGCAATGTGAAGGCTGGCCAGAGAGGGTGGCAGGTCGTACCACTTTCTCTACGTATGGCACAGGTATCATGCCAGCACGGCCATCTTTGTTCCGAGCACTCCACCACTGCTCCTCTGGCTTTTCCAGAATGACCAATATTTCACCCCTTTTGAATGGAAGATCTTCTGCATCACTACCAGTGAAGTCATATAGAGTCCGCACATACTCCAAGTTGTCCTCTGTTCCACCAATTGACTGGATAGGTCCTGTAACCGTGTTTGGATACCTTAAGACAGAAGAGACAGTGAGTTTTAACAGTGTTACAGCGGCCTACACAGCTATGTTGCCATTCACCAACCCCATTAGACACCTTCAGCATTTGAATCATTTATAATTACAATGACAGTTATTTACATAAAAGTGTCAAACAAAACATGTTTAAGTCCAATGATACATTAACAATAACGTATCCACAAAACCTTTGCTTTACAAATATCCATGCACGTCAATGTGGCTCTAGTTACTCAATCACTAGTCTACGTACATCGCTCAGCTCAGGCCAGAGATCAGGGGCGTAGCATTTCCTTACCTTGGAGCTGGCTCTATCAATGTGGTCGTGTCCAGAAAGTGAATTTTGTAGAATTCAAGTAGAGCTGCGAGGTTTTCAAACTCTTGATCGCCTATTTTGAATCTTTTACTGGAGAGTGAGTTGATAATGTAGTGAGAGACTTTACAGTTCTCCGACACAGAGAGCACATAGTCACCGTGGCAGGTCGAAGAGTCTCTGACCAGAAACATGCCATGCTTCTGCCCCTGTAATCGGTTCTGTGCCTCTGTTCTGGACACAGGTCCAAAATACCAGGAACCTTGATCAGACGAATCAAACCGTGACATGTCGGGCGTATGTATGTTGATATCCAGAGAAGTCTGAACAATAATCTAAAACCTGTGGTGTAGCAAAGTGGAGAAGACGAGGCAGGGCATGCGTGGTCCTGTGATACCCTCCTGCGTATTGGGCACAGAAGCTGATACTAACTCCCAACACTCAGGTTTAGGATAAATGTATAAGAGCAGCGACCCCGGTGCTTCACAAACAGCCTGCTACAACCCTGGGCCAACAGAGGATCATGGTGTGCACCTTTTGTTCAACAGTCAAAATCAGGATATTAGTTTGAAGAAAAACGTGTAGATCAAGGAAACAAATGATCAATGAAGCTTCCCCTTTTCAGTCTTCCGAGAATAAAACAACTCCCCAGCGACAGGCGGTCCCTTCGGTCAGCGCTCACCGGGGCATGCCGCCAACAGATGCTCAGGAGCCGCCAAAAGGAAATCAACTTGTTACTTTGTACCGTAGGGTGTTTATGCAGAGGACATCTTTAGGAGACACAATGTCCAATCCTCCTCCCAGAGTCAGAGCAGACTTTTGAGGCAGCACGGCAAAAATGGCGGCCCGCACCACGTCTTCACACAAAAATGATGTCTTCACCAGCTCTAGTTTCCCACTCGCACATGTCGTGGTTTATCCCCAACCCCAGAGCGCATGTTTACACCCGACACTCGATTACCGACTTTCCAAAGCTTTTACGGTAGAGTATGACTGATCTCCGCCAGCACTAGCCTCCAAAAGTGCGAGTACGAGACAGAAAAATGGCGACGGGAGGGCAGGTCCCGCTTTCTTTCTGTCTGTACGTCACTGACGTCACTGACGCCTGAAGCGAAGGGAAGTGAGAACAGGAAGAGGCGGGTCTAACACCGACTCCCATCTCCACATCTGTCAATCATGTTCTATGACACAGCGAGATAGGCTATGAGCGAGATTCTCCTGCTCCCACCACCCACAGATATGCTCCCAGCCTCCCACACGGATGGATTAAACAGTTGCATTGCAGTGGAATTATCCGGCTAATTGCTCCTCTTGATTTATCATTATCATCAATATACATAAGAATCTTCAATTTGCAGCAAATAATAAACAAGAGAAAAATACACTAGAAAACCATATTTATATAGCGTAAGATATCGTTTAGAGATTAAATAGCATGCTCTCAATTCTCAGCTATCCCACACGCTGAAGTAGTCTTTGTAGTCACATTTATAAACCAGCTATTCTTTATGCATGTGTTATTTTATTTTTTAATTAGAAATGGGCATACTTATACATGATAAAGCACTCATTAAATCTGCCTTGCTAATAGGTGTCTGATATGGCCTGTAAGGATGCAGCTGGTGCGCATTCCACCACTGCAACACTTTGTGAATCTTAATAAGTCTGTAGTCACTGCATCTTAAAAGCTACTGCTTAAAAGCTAAAATTCCCGCGAAGAAATAGTGATGGAATGAATGGAGAAAACAAAGGGAACAAACAGAAGTAAAAAAAAAAAAACCATCCTTGTTTTGGGGGAATTTTTTTCTGTTATCAAATATGTTTGGTTTGCTATCGGGTTCCATTTGATGTAAGGGCCTTAAAATGTTATGAATTTAGTATGTAAATAACTTATTTAGTAATATAATAGAATAGATCCCATTTCTATTCACACATCTTCACGCAGCTAAAGTGCCCCATCAGCATTATATTGTCACTGTGGAGTAGTGGAGTTGCATCACAGAGTAGAACACAATTTCTTTAGAATATAATTATTCAATGCACAAGATATATATCCAACCAAAGATATAAAGTTTTATGTCACTATGATACAATATTTCTGAGGGTTAGCATGAGATGACCATGGAATTCTTTAAGCTCACAGTTTGTTCCTTGTCAAGCCTGTACACATTCCTTCCTTTGTCCGTGTGAGCCCTTGGTGATGTGAAAATAATCTTTATTAGATGCTGATGAGTTGTGTCTGGTCACTGCAGGACTCTCTTGAAGCGGCTTATTTGCACTGCACGAGTTCTCCTCTGTCTGTCTGCAATGGAGGTGCTGAATGACTGTTTGAGAGCAGGCAAGATCACTGCCGACTGAGGCGTTTCAGAGCTGTGGACAGGGGAGACCAGAAGCTTAGCAGGTATTAAAACAGCTGTTAAATTACTGCAGACAGAGAAAGTCTGTCTCCACATTTGTCCTTGTGTGGACATGAACTTCTGTTGTTCTCAGAGCCGAAATCTGATTGTTGCACATGCAAAAATGCCTTTACGTGCATGTGACTGATTTTTTTTTTTCTTCAAGTTAAATAAAAGCAGCAGATGTGACAGCTGTCAGATTTTTTTATCCAACAAATGTTTTCCCACAGGTTATTCTATGCTAAAATTAATTGAATAATCTATTTTCAATAATGTGAAGTCGATGGATGTCACAAAAGAATAATAATAAGAATACAATATATAATGATTCAACTTAAAAACACATACGTTTTTTCTGGAAATGTCTGAAGACCGAGCTTTGGCAACTTCTCAGCTTCAGAAAACTTCCTGTAAAAAAAATTCCATAATTAAGGTAACACTTCAGATTGCATTTCGAATATAATAATAAACAATTACTAGAGTAACCTGGTTCCATCTGCAAGGTATGTTTTGGTAAGAATGTAGTTTTCTGGAGTGATTTTCTTACTGAAAACAATATCTCTCAGCAAAGCTTTTACACGTAAAAGCTAAATAAAGAAAAAAAAAAGAAGCATCACAACAACCAGTCTCTACAAACCCACAAATGTAACCTTTCAAAATGACCTACTTCCTGAGACTGTATGTTGTTGGCGTTGTAGAGCTGGCGGATGATGACTTCACACTCGTGGAGGGTGGGGGGTCGCGGCGGGTGTGAGGGGCTGCTGTGGATTCGCAGAGGCTGCAGTGAGGTGATGAGGCCTCCTTTCAGCTCCGGGCCGTGGGCTTTACTGATCGCGCCTGCTGCCTCTGTGGGCTCGGCCAGGCTTCTCGACAAATCAATTATAGATTCAAGAGAAAAAGAGTTAATATAGCAGCTGAGGAAACACTGCATACAACGCTTCAATCAGGCATCATTTAAGGCATGGAAAGATTATCAATTTTTTCCCCTACCAATTTTCATTAGGTCTATACTTTAACAATGTTAAAGTACAAACTAGGACAACAAAACTATTTCATTTAAACTAGGATTAATCCAGAAGATCAACATTTAACATAAGATAAGACAGAATCACTCAGATTGTGCAAAAAAATATTAAAGATTAAAAAAGGTAAAAAATGTAGGCTGTGCAGGATATATTATGTACAATAAAAAGTGGCAATAGCAGAGCTGTAGTGCAGGTCATTAGTGACAGCGGTGGGGATAAAGGCCCTGCAGTAGCGCTCCTTCTTGCACTGAGGGTGTCTCAGTCGTCCACTGAAGGAGCATGGAAGAAGCTACCAAAGAGTCAAAAAAAGTCCTGAGCAGAGGCCTGCTCACTCTGAAGGACCTCAGCCTCCTCAGAAGGAAGAGGCCACTTTGGCCCTTCTTGTGCAGGGCGTTTGTATTATGGACCAGTCCAGTTTATTGTTAATGTGAACACCCAGGTACTTGAAGCTGTCCACCAGCTCAATGTCCTCCCCCCAGCAGCGTGTGGGAAAGTGGTTTTCTCCTTGGTCTTACTGGTGTTCAAGCACAAGTGGTTGCGCTCACACCAGTTGACAAAGTCCATGATAACATACCATTTAAAGAAACTCATGAACCAGTGGAACACATACCGTTTGAGAATCCCTGTATTACAGCTATAGCTTGTGGCTGATTGGTTGGATCCCACAGTAGTTGTAATTGCTTTATCAATGTTTAAATCTGCATGACATCCATCTAACTGATTCTGAGCTCTCAAAGCAGTTTGGTTCTATCCCTAGATGCTAAATGATTGCGTCATTTGTCCTCTGTCACATCTTTAATCCAAAAACATTTTCAACAGAAAAGTAAAAGAGAAGACCACCCCCACTCAGCCAATCAGCTCCCTTCCAAAGCTTCAAATAGTGACATACAACGCTCTTTCTTGCAAAGTATGGAAAAGTTAAAACACTGGATAGTTAATGTTGTGGGATAATTTATTCTCAAACCTTTTAGGCAATTATCTTTCTGTTTAAATTTAACTACCCCGGCTTTAAATATCCCAATTTTAAACAGTAAAAATGTCACATGTTTCTCTTCTCCAAAAAACATCATGAAGAAAAATGCACAAAAAAAAATATAGATCAACCATTTTTCTTTTGAACAGCATCTATTTGTGAGATTATTAAAACACACGGCAGTACACTTTGTCACCTGGACACTTGTTCGTGCAGTGGCCGTGTGTCCTGCAGCTTCTCCTCCAGGTACAGTCCAGTGCGAGCCTCACTTCCCTGAGTGGGCGGTCTGAATCCACGACGACTCGTGGGTAATCCTGTAATCAGTCACAACAGCCCCTCAACGACAGTCACTGTACGGCCATAGACTGTACATCGAGATAATGACAAGGGCTTTGAGCACATACCTTTTCGACTGACCGTGGGCGACTCCATTATCATCTTATACTGCAGCTCTGCAACATCCACACAAGACAGTGGTATAGAGTGTGGCATATAGCTGTTCATTAGATGCACATTTGTAACATATCCTGTTTGTGTGGCCATCTGTGCGCACACACACACACACACACACAAACACACCCACACACCCACACACAGGACTGACAGCTTGAGGCAGACGACTGAAGATTCATTGAAGGCTTGTGTTGAGATGTAACGGTATACATGCAGGAAAGTGACACCGCCTCCCACAAAGCCACCACTCACCTTTCAGTTTCGCCTGGCTGGAGTTGCCATGCGACCACCCTGTGTAGATTAAATGTCTCCTGCCTTTCAGCAGCTCAGCAGCTCAGCAGGAGAGCAGTGAAATTGGCTTCATTCATTAAGGTGTGTGCGGACAGGAAGTACGGAGTTCAGTTAGGTTTAGGAGGTTAACATGTCTTGTTTCTGTGTATTCTGTCTCATTTCAGTTTGTAGTTGTACCTCCAGTTTGGCCAGAACATGTGACATACACCGTTTAACTCCATAATACAGCAATCAGACTAATTAAAGCTGGAGGAGTATGTACTATGAACAAACCAAATGTACTCTAAATTACTACAAATGTTGAAATAAGCTAACACCACCTCTGCATTTAACCCCTTCTTCAATGTCAGAGCACTCCAGATGTTGATGCTCAGCTTAGTCATGACTAACAGGTGGGGGATTTTACCAATGATTCATGTTTTGGGTGGTGGGGAAAACCCATCCACTGCCTGCGAGTCACTGTTTGACACCTGTGGCTGAATGGAAATGGTTCATTCACTTCAGCACCACTAGTCACAATCAAAAATCCCAAAAGCTATAAATATTACGTTAGTTAACTCCTTTAATTATTTCTTGTAATTTCATGTAGCACTTTTACTGTGTCATCTTTTTAAATGTCTAAAGCAAAACTAGTTTATTTTGTGCTGTTTCATTATTAAATCTGTTTAAAAACATAGCAAATGGCTGATAAACATAAACTGCGGTACCATACTGTGAGTCAAGAATAATTACAAAATGGTTAAATTGGCTAAATATTAGTGACATGTTAGTCCCATATGAACCAGCCCGGACTCTGAGGAGCACAGGGACTGGACTCCTGCTGGGACTCTGAGGAGCACAGGGACTGGACTCCTGCTGGGACTCTGAGGAGCACAGGGACTGGACTCCTGCTGGGACTCTGAGGAGCACAGGGACTGGACTCCGGCTGGGACTCTGAGGAGCACAGGGACTGGACTCCTGCTGGGACTCTGAGGAGCACAGGGACTGGACTCCTGCTGGGACTCTGAGGAGCACAGGGACTGGACTCCTGCTGGGACTCTGAGGAGCACAGGGACTGGCCTCCTGCTGGGACTCTGAGGAGCACAGGGACTGGACTCCTGCTGGGACTCTGAGGAGCACAGGGACTGGCCTCCTGCTGGGACTCTGAGGAGCACAGGGACTGGACTCCTGCTGGGACTCTGAGGAGCACAGGGACTGGACTCCTGCTGGGACTCTGAGGAGCACAGGGACTGGACTCCTGCTGGGACTCTGAGGAGCACAGGGACTGGACTCCTGCTGGGACTCTGAGGAGCACAGGGACTGGACTCCTGCTGGGACTCTGAGGAGCACAGGGACTGGACTCCTGTTAGTGCCCAGAGTCAGAACTAAACATGAGGAGGCTGCTTTTCAGATTCATGCTGCTAAAATCTGGAACAATCTTCCTGAAGATGTGAGACAGGCCTCCTCTCTGACAATGTTTAAAACCAGGTTAAAAGCTGTTCTGTTTAGCTGTGCATACAACTGAGGGATTTTATATTTTTTATGTACTGTGATTATTTATGATTTTAATGCTATTTTGTTTTGTTCAGCACTTTGAGTTGCCTTGTGTATGAAATGTGCTATACAAATAAACTTGCCTTGCCTAAGAATGTATATTAAAAAAAATGGTTGTACTGTAATTAACCCCTCTAAACGCGTATTTTTATTTTTTGACAACAAATTTGCGCTTTCACCTTTGTTCTCCCGCCTGAGGAGGTCGATCTCTTGGTGCAGCTTCCCCAGAGTGTCCTGGTGCTGCTGCTGGAGGAACTGGACGTTTCTCTGCAGAGACGCGACGCGGGGGTCCGGCTCGCTGTGCAGGCTGGACTTCTCCGGTGCTCCGAGCGAGTCCCTTGTCTTCACCACCAGCCCCCGGTCTGCCCTGTCCTCTGCGGGGACGGTGCGCAGCCTGTTCCCCGGTGGAGGATGCGGTCTGCCCAGACTGCCCACTCTGGTCCAGTGTGGCAAATGTCGCACCGGGGGAAGGTTGATGTTGCCGCTCGACATTTTAGTTTGTGTTGATGCCAAAACATACCGACTGCACGACAGCGCGACAAAAGTGTGTCAAAAACTGCGGATTCAATTCAATTCAATAAAGACATTAGCCTCTGTTAGCTCCTCTCAACTGACCAAACTAACTATGTTACCATGACAACGCCGCTACGACCCGGCCCCCGGTGCAGTTAAGATTGACAGGCAAATTCACCAATCAGCGGGGAGAATGAGTAGACACTTAGATCAGGAATATTAGCCGCATCCCAATAGATATTGTGTTTTGTAAGTAAAAACACATTTGTAATTTAATTCTGGGCTGTAGTAGGGAGGGATTTTTTTTGCATTCAGTATCCCTCTACTTATAAGTAATACACGCATTATATACTTGAAAATACATAGAAATTAGTCACTCCCAGAGATGAGCAGGGGTGTCAAATACTGTATGTGGCCCATGGGCTCTATAGTAGAGAAAAATTAGGTTAGAATATTACAAAAGTTAGGGATAAAACACAACAACTCCTTGTATGTCTTTTTATTGCAATTCTCAGTCACACAGAAATATTAGACCATATGGACCAAACAAACAAAACAATGAAATAATGTGTCAGTGAAGAGACACGTTCAAAATGCCTTCATCAAGGCACTGGGTAGATCAGAGCGCCCATTCTTTGGAAAAGTAGGTCAAATGAATCTGCTCCTTTCATACCCATAATATGTACAACAACAGCAATAATTTCATTTACAATATTTGTAAGGGAAACAGAATTTGTGAAATGAAAATGAACAACAACAAAATGCTGGAGTGTATATTTTAGACTAAATGTTTATGTGGTGCAATTTCACTTCATCAAAACAACTGGAGGCCATCTTTTCAAGGACACTTGCAACAAGTTACAGCATGAGAGAGGGCGATGTGTGGAGTCCAACACATTATGGGTGTCCATGAGGCGTTCCCAGAAATCTGCACCAAGTGGAGGTAACTCCCCTTTAAAGCTGATAAACAATTTTAGGGAAGTAAAAGTGACATATGCATAAGTTAAATTTGTTATGTAGTCGATTCTAAGCCTATTGTATGAATGAAAACAAATCTGCAAAGTAATATACGCAAGTAACTATAAGATCGTCACGCAGAGATGGTTAGCCCATTAGGAATGTGTCACATAGAAACATTGAGTGTAACAACAAAAACACTTAAACAAAAGGCCACAAAACAAATAAACATAGCCTTTTCTTAACGTGTATCTTTAAATATTCATGTCTCTCATTGCTTCGTTCTTCTGACAGTGTCGTCACACATTTCTGATTTCTATAGAATGGCTTATTCTATCAAATAAAACACAATCACTATCTTCAACAACTATTAAGGCAAATAATACACTAAGGAAAACCACTTCCATTGGGGACCTTTTCACCAGGGTAAAAGTGAAACCAAAAGTAGCTCACACGAGGTTTTCCACCAAATCCCTAATACCTCAGCAAAACACTCATGCATGCATTCATGCAGTCTCTTTGAAAGCTGTTGTCTTCCTTAGCCTCTCCTTTTGGGATGACAAACTACACAAACAAAACAATGAAATGCACACCGCAAAACAACACTGTCACTCACAGAGCTCTGCAATGAAATATAGCTTATATAGTCTTTGATAAGCATTCTCTCATCTAACACACAACAGTAACTTGATAACTAAATTAAACATCACTAGAATGAAAAAGTAAAGATCTGCACATTCTCCATGTTCCATTCAAACCACTGAATAGTTAGAAAATACTTAAACAGTGCAAAGTCATTCAGCATAGCTCTGGGATCAGTCTAAACGCAAACATCTAGACATGCTGTGCTTCTCCCGTCTGCCTACATTCAAATGTGACGATACGAACATAAACACACACATGGACTCATCTCCTCGCCACGTTCAAGAGCACACCTGAAGTGATGGGCACGAGACAAACGTCAGTGAGACGCGAAAGCTACATTTTAAAGTTCCAACTTTTACTTTATCTCTTTTTAAAACGAATGGGCAGATATAAACCAAGACCAATAAATAATTCTATTCTATCTTCCCACATCTAGAATTAAGCAAAACAATATTTTTGGTAATTATGTAACAGATTTTGTCACTACCTTAAATAGCCAAGAATAATATTTGTCTTTCCTTTACCTGAGCACACAGAAGAGCAATGCTGGTACTGTTGTCTCAACTACAAATCACTTAAAAATGATTTGTCTATAGAATTGTCAATTGCAATTAGAATTAGGTAGATAACTGAATTGAGAGTATTGCCACTGCCAGTGTGTATATCCTCTTGGAAAAAATTCCCAAGTCTCATGTTTAATTTTCCTTGATCCATTGACAACAGTCCACAGTTTAGGAATGTCAACAGATCATCAGGAAATTCCTGTTAACTGGAGAGAAAAAACAACAAGTCTTTGTATATGGATTGTTGAGGTTGAATATTGTCCTGGGTGAAAAGAATGAGTTACACTGCGGTTCACTCTCAAACACAGAGTCCAGACTGTAGAGCTGTGAGGCGTCGTTCAATGCACTCTTTACCTGTGAAATATAAACAACGTCATTCTGTTTTACTGTTTCAGGATAGAATACAAAGTCGCTCCTTAAGTATAGAGACTCACATTTGCTAACGCTGAGGATGTCCTCCTGTTCAGAGAGCAGCATAGATAGACCCTCCATTAGCAGCAGAGCTTTGTGATATCGTAGGATGGAGGCCTCCCCCTGGTGGAACATCTCATCCAGCGCAGCAGCCTGAACCTGCACACAATCAATTTGTCATGCTTCATTCACAGCAGAATGGAAAACATTTCAAAGATTTAAAAAATGGCTAGGGCTGAAGGTGGTGCAGTAAAGCAAGTGCAGAGTCTTTACTTGTCTACACTGGATAACAATATTCTGAATATTCAGTGTGTGACATTTACATTTACCATGCCAAACAGGGATTCTCATCTATATTAGATAAATTATGTTAGCACAACGTTAAACCTACTTAATTTATTTACACAAATAACACATCTAATCTAAGATGTGGACTTTAGTTTCCTAACAATACAATGTTTGCTTTTTTTCCCCCCATCCCATGGCATTTGCACAGTGTACTTACCATCTGCACAGTGTGGCTGAAGAGCAGCCTCTCTGCGGTGATGGAGCTGATCTGGTCCATCAGACGATGCTTCCTGGAGAAGAAGCGCTCCAGACGGGTGCTCAGGGAGCGGCAGCATGCTACACTGCTCTTGTACAGCTCATTCAGCTTTTTCACCACTGCAGGGACAACAATATATTCCTGAATTCTTTACACAAGACTTTGTTACAACTAAAGCCCTCTGTATACCTTGTTTGACTGTTGCGGAAGGGTAAAGTTTTCCCTCTTTAACTTGCTCCTTTGCCGTGTGTAAGGCGACCGACAAAAGGTCTGCACTCTTCAGATAAAGAACCAGCTGTTCTGCATAGCTGAGGAACAAAAACAGACAACAAACTATTTACAACAAACTATTGCGGTGTATGCTTCTAAAGTGCACTCCTCAGATATATATGAATGTATAACAATGACTTCTGATTATTCATGTCGAGAAATGTTGGCAGTATATTGAATGTCTCAAAATATGTCTGAACATTTCTGAAAAAATAAGTATAAATCCAGATGTGTATATCTGTTATTGTTTCCTTGTTGCTGAAAAGAAGGTACTTCATTTATAAAGCACAGTTCATAGAAAAACTAAAGCTCAATGTTCTTTAGAGGGCACTGCGTAACTGTGTACTGCCTCTGATAGTCTGAACAGGTGGATCTTTAGGTTATTATGGAAGGCGCACAGGGTTGGAGAAAATTTATCATCATCCTGCATTTACAAGGAGCAAAATGGGAGAATACAGCTTGTCCCACCTTCAGCCTCACACAGGGTCTAGCAAGAAAATTGAGTTCTGAGGATCTGAGACAATGCAAGGCACAAGTGGATTCCAAATAAATGAAGCAGTTGCAATAGCCTGAAAATCTGTGGCATTGAGCATATTCCAGAGACAATACAATAAGAGAAGGAAACAAACTCAAGACATTACTTCAAAGAGTGTCTTGCTGGATATATCCTCTAAAGGCCACTCAATTCCCAGGTTTAAATGGAGAACGTGTAGGGATGTAAATCGGCGACCGGTTAACCGGTGGTTGACCGTCACAGCGTTAACCGGTCAAAGCTGTCGGTTAAAAAAGAGAAAAAGGGGAGAGGGGAGGTCTCTTAATAACGCTATTTTAAGCCCTATTTGCACGGTGTGACGAGCGGGTCTGTATCTAGCTGTGTGCGCCAATGTATTATAAACTCCGGGACGACTCTCACGCCGCACGAGCCACATATGCACACACGCACGCGCGTACACACACACACACACACACACACACTTTCCCCCTCTCCATACGTAACATCCACACGCATCATCTCTCCCCTCTGTTACCGTCAAAGCACACTGGCGCGGGTCAGAACTACATTGGAGCTTACATTTACACACACACACACATATACATACACACACACACATACATACACACACACACATACATACACACACACATACATACACACACACATACACACACACATACCGGTCTGTCGCGCTCCTCTGTGTCACGGAGCCCAAAGGATTCGCGCAAATACGCGGCTCCAGTCAAACCACATGGACCATGTTTGTGTTTATGGTCCTCGGGATCAGCTCCACACACATCACTTGTATTTAAACTTTTGTGAAGACCTGTGAGACGCGGCTCGTCACTCGCTGCTCTGACCATGTGAACGAGCCGTCGTTTGCTGCTAGAAAGTTTTGGTATTAACCCGCAGCACAGCAGAATGGGAAGATTAAAAAAGCAGTTCTCTGTGCGCAAAGGTGCCGGAGCTGTTGCGGGTTTGGGCGCCGCTGTCTCGGCTCTGATCCAGTAGAATGCAGAGCTGCACTTATGAAAAGTACGCGGCTCGAAATGGCCGTTATTTCAAAGAACGTGGACTATTTTAAACTACGCGGTTAACCGGTTTCAACCGGTTAATGAGGCTCGGTGGTCGGTCATGAAAATTCATAGTTTTTTACATCCCTAAGAACGTGTAATAATCTGGTCAAAGGTGGTACTGCACTCTCCCTGACTCAGGTTGCCAGATAAGCAGACGAATCCAGCTGGGACAATAATAGTTGAAACACAGTGATTGGTGAAACGGTGGAGGGCAGAACATAGAAATGAAAACAATAACAAGATTTAGGGGCTGGAAAACAAATTTTGAAATTTGTATCTCGGCTGAGCTACTGTTATCAGTTAAGAGCTTGGTTTATTATTGCCTTTTGACAGATTAGGGCCATTTAATGATGACTTGACATGGAAATCTTGCATATTGCTACAATAATGCAAATTGGTACATAATATTTTGCACTGTTTGGAATATCTTATATTCTCTCCAGTTTTAAAAACTTTAGGTCCACCCACTGACCATGTGACCAGCACCATTTTGGTTAAATCTGCACTAAAACACTCTTCTTTAGTAGTCCTTGATGATGGCCAGAAGGCTAACATTGTGTAGGTGTAATTTTTCTTTAGCCATGTTAAATAAAGACTGTATTCAACAAACTTTTTAGTGCCTCAATCCTCTGACTCAATTCTGGATTTTAAAGTTTATCTGGGCCTATAGTCAGTGGGCATAAATTAACGCAGGTGTAGTGCAAGATCTTTTTCAAGTCTGTGTCAAAAGGCAAGGGATTGAGTTTTGGATAAGTTGCAGACGCTGGCGCTAAGAAATATGGACAGATGTAGCCAATGTACTTTATGTTTCATCCAGACGTTTCTTTGGCAAAAACATTCAATCAATACATTTCAGCTCACATCTGAGATGCTGTAATTTATTCTCAAATATCATTTGTCTTGCCCAGCTGCCGACTTCCCCTTAGAGGAAGTTCATAAATTAGACTAATCAGAATGTAAATGGAAGTTTTAAAGACCTTTGTCGAGAGCTGATTGGCTAAGTGAGAGCAGTCCTCTCTTTTACCATTATCTGTCTGAAAAAGTTGATCTAGAGACTTGCGTTGTGTAGATGGAGTATGTAGACCCTTCTTTGTCCGTTACCACAGACTGCACTCAAGACTCACCTCCACTCTCGGCTGAGGGAGCTGATCTGATCTGCTACCAGGCTGGGCTGCTGCTGCTGCTGCTGCTGCTGGAGAGGGGGGTACTTGGCTTCACTCCCACGAGTCGCAGCCACCTCCACAAGACAACGCGCAAAATCCAGAGTGAAGCGCAGGCTCTGAACAATGTCGGTGTGCTCCTGCTGCTCTCACGGCCACGAGACAGGAGAAGAGACAGGTTCTTTAGTGTGAGGATTATCAAGAAGTGATAAGTCAACTCAATATCAATGTCTGCACTGCTGTCTCCAAGCTCCCCTCAGGCAACAGCAACATCCTGGATTATAAGGATCCACTACTAACATGAAGAAACATATTGTATTCACACATTGTACAGATTAAGTAAAGTAAGTAAGTACTAAAGTAAGAAAAATGCAAATCTTCTAAAACATTTTTTACCAGAATTAGACTAATGCAGTCACAGAAAAATAAATTAAATTATTGAAATTGAACATTACTTATTATACCATTCATATTTAGAGATGAATGAAGATGAAATTTAAACTCGATATACCGGTATATGTCACCCTCCTGCGTTGCCGTAATAATAGCACATTTGGAGGAGGATTTTTGAGTCATCCAGCTGCTCACCTCCATCAAAGTCTCCTCAGGCAGTTCAGGCGCCTCAAACGTGACCGGACCGCCCATGTTGGCAGAGATGGGATCAGTGAAGCTGAAGCGGGGGCTGGAGGGAGCCTCAAAGCCTTCTGCGTAGGTCCCTGTCGGAGGAAAGCGGCTGGTCAAGGAGCCTCCAGAGCTGACTGAAGTCAATGAGCCTGCCAAGTGGAACAATGTCTTAAGTCAGTGCTGAAGTGCCCCCTGGCTTCCAATGTAAGCAACAAAAAAATATACTTCAGCACACTTCAACTCATCTTCCAACACCTATGAATGTTTTCACCATAAGGATACAATAAAAACAATTAGAAATTAAGAATTTGCCAAACTTACCGGAGTATTTTCTCAGCCGAGATGACTGAGGAGGGGTGCTGCCAGTGGGAGGAGATCCCACCGTAAAGACCACCTGTGCTGGACTGCCAGAGCCTGGGGTAAAACCACCACTAGGGGGAGCTAAAAGAGAAAACAGTCATCAACACTGTAACTAACTGTAACTGTGTGGCAAATATTTTTTGGACTGGTTGTTTGAAATGTTGTGTATGAGACAATGAAATAATAACCACCTATAATCTCAATGCCTCTTTCAGAAGTCAGGTTCTCTGCGCTGCCCCTCTCAGCCACCGGAGCATTAGAGCCAAACGCCGCCATCAGCAGCATGTCTGACAGTCGGCCAGCACTTTGAGACCTAAACAAAGTGTATGTATGTTGTAAAATGCAGTTTTGTATGGTTCTCTTTATAAGAAGGAGTGAGAGTGGAAGAGTTGTACCTTCCAAGGCCTGTGGCGTCGTTAGCTCTGTGTATGCACTGAGCAGGCTGTGGCTCTGGAGGGGCAGTCCTGTTGGTGGGTGACCCCATCACCAAACCCTGGGCCAGGAAGGTCATGAGGTTTGGTGAGCTGGTGGGCTTGGGGAACTCGAAAGGAGGGATTGCCTTTAAGAAATATAAAATGCATGTGAAACATTCCTTTTATTCACTCTTCCTACTTTTTGTTTAAACTAAGAATCAGAGAGATGTGTAAGTAGAGATGAGACTGACTGTTTTAGAGAGATAAATGAGTAATTAATCCGCCTGCATGAAATTAATCCCATAAATTCCATGTAAATAAATTGGCAGTGTTAATAACGTTATTGTTTAATGCAGATAATTGCATCCTTGGGAATACAGAGACATGGAAGAACGTTCTTACCCTGGAAGGTGAGCCGAGTATGGTGGGCAGAGGGTTGCGCTGCATGAGTTCGCTGAGTCTGGGAGAGGAATGCAGGGGTCTCACAGTCATCAGGCCTGAAGAGGGGACTGCCACGGGATCCGAGTGCTGTTTACGGATTATCTGTCTGCCGCCCGCCTTACCACACTCCAACAGACAGGGAGCGCTGTGGAGTCGCGACCCTAGTCCTGCTTGGGGCTGCGTCGTTTGTCGTAGCTCAGCTGAGGGGAAAAATATATACATGGGAATGGTTGCAAAAGCTTGGTTTGACAGGTTCACACACTGTTTAAAGTGATTGTCTGCAATTTGTCAGAAAGAGAGAGAGAGAGAGAGAGGTGCTTGATTTGATTCCTTTCTGATTGGTCTACACCTACGTTTCCGTAACACATTTAAATGTTAATCTGAGAACACATTATACATATACATTATTAATACACATGCACGGAGGTTTTCAGAATTATTTGTTCACGTTTTCATGAAAAAAATTATGTTTTAATTCATTAAATCGCGGCAAACCCTCAAGTGCTATTATCATGAATTGCACATTATAGGACACATCTGCAGAGGATCTGATTATGGATATAGGTTCAGTATATAAATGATTATGGATATAGGTTCAGTGTATAAATGATTATGGATATAGGCTCAGTATATAAATGATTATGGATATAGGCTCAGTATATAAATGATTATGGATATAGGTTCAGTATATAAATGATTATGGATATAGGTTCATATATAAATGATTATGGATATAGGTTCAGTATATAAATGATTATGGATATAGGTTCAGTATATAAATGATTATGGATATAGGTTCAGTATATAAATGATTATGGATATAGGTTCAGTATATAAATGATTATGGATATAGGCTCAGTATATAAATGATTATGGATATAGGTTCAGTATATAAATGATTATGGATATAGGTTCAGTATATAAATGATTATGGATATAGGTTCAGTATATAAATGATTATGGATATAGGTTCAGTATATAAATGATTATGGATATAGGTTCAGTATATAAATGATTATGGATAGGTTCAGTATATAAATGATTATGGATATAGGCTCAGTATATAAATGATTATGGATATAGGTTCAGTATATAAATGATTATGGATATAGGCTCAGTATATAAATGATTATGGATATAGGTTCAGTATATAAATGATTATGGATATAGGCTCAGTATATAAATGATTATGGATATAGGCTCAGTATATAATGATTATGGATATAGGTTCAGTATATAAATGATTATGGATATAGGTTCAGTATATAAATGATTATGGATAGGTTCAGTATATAAATGATTATGGATATATGTTCAGTATATAAATGATTATGGATATAGGTTCAGTATATAAATGATTATGGATATAGGTTCAGTGTATAAATGATTATGGATATAGGCTCAGTATATAAATGATTATGGATATAGGTTCAGTATATAAATGATTATGGATATAGGCTCAGTATATAAATTATTATGGATATAGGTTCAGTATATAAATGATTATGGATATAGGTTCAGTATATAAATGATTATGGATATAGGCTCAGTATATAAATGATTATGGATATAGGTTCAGTATATAAATGATTATGGATATAGGCTCAGTATATAAATTATTATGGATATAGGTTCAGTATATAAATGATTATGGATATAGGTTCAGTATATAAATGATTATGGATATAGGCTCAGTATATAAATGATTATGGATATAGGTTCAGTGTATAAATGATTATGGATATAGGCTCAGTATATAAATGATTATGGATATAGGTTCAGTATATAAATGATTATGGATATAGGCTCAGTATATAAATGATTATGGATATAGGTTCAGTATATAAATGATTATGGATATAGGTTCAGTATATAAATGATTATGGATATAGGCAGTGATGGGCAGTAGCGTCGCTACAAGTAGCGTCGCTACAAGCTTAACTACATTTTTCAGTAGCTTGACAGTAGCGTCACTATTTACAAAACCTAGTAACTTTTCTGTAGCTAAGCTATATTATTGCTCAAGTAGCGCGGTAGCGTCCACCAAAGCTATTTTCTCACGGACATCTCTGATGTTCATATATTACAGCATTTTCCCGCAGCATATATAGAAAGACAGAATGCTGATGCGCATGCGCAGGGCTTCGTAACGACACACACACGAACGTACACACACACACACACACACACACGAACGTACGCACACACACACACACACACACACACACACGAACGTACGCACACACACACACATGCGCGCGCGCTACTGGGGGAAGAAAAGCATGGCAGAGAGCCCAGGAGCCGCCGCGGTGGAGGAGGACCATGATAAAGACTCTCAAAGTGTTGTACCGTGGCCATACCTCCAAAAGTACGTCACTCTAGTCGAGATGAGCGAAAAGAAATATGTTTTTAGATGCCTACTCTGTAATCCCAAGAGCAAGTTCCTGTCGACGTCAAAGACATCTAATACAAACATACGAACACACGTTCAGGTAAATCTATTGTTTTCCATTTTGCATTAATGAGTTTAACTAAGCTTAAATCAGCTAACAACAATAATTAAGTAGATAAGATGTTGGAGAATGGGATACTTATGATTGAACTTCAGATTTTCAGATCAGAACTCATGCTAACCAGCAGAGGGAATATTAACAAGCTAGGTTAACGGCTAACTAGAATGGACCCTATGCAGTAGTAGCCTACTAGAACATTATGTTTAATCACAGCCACATCCATACAAATATTTAATACATGATTTCTTCTCTAGAGAGTCCACCCAAATAACTTTGCTTGCATGGAGAGGGAGCGTGAACAAGCCAAGAAGAGGAGTGCTCCTGAGGAAGACGAACACGCGCCAAAACAAGGCAGTGTGTCCCAGTATTTCAGGGGTGGTCCACGCTCTCTAAGTCAAGAACGATTCAATGAATTAGTTCTTAATTTTGTGATTCAGGGATTGCACCCACTGTGGACTGTGGAGAGGCCAGAATATATAGAACTCTTCCGTGAAATTCTACCCTCTAAGCAGTTAATATCAAGACGGACATTGGGGAGACTTTTAGATGATCATTATTCATTGATGAAGAGCACACTGATCAAAATGTTGTCTAAACAGAGCCATGTATGCACAACAACAGATGCATGGTCCTCAAACAACAGAAGCTTTCTTGGCGTGACCATCCACTGGATAGATGAAGAAAGCTTAGGCATTTGCTCTGGAGCATTAGCCTGTCGTAGGCTTGCAGGGCGGCACACACATGATGTTTTGGCAGAGATGCTTGAAGATATCCACCAACATTTCAAAGTAAAAGAAAAGGTGACCGTTACAACTACTGATAATGGTTCTAATTTTGTAAAGGCATTCAGTTTGTTTGCGGAGGCTCAAAGAACTATTGGTGGCAGTGGAGAAGAGGATGATGAAGATGACGAGGACGAGGAACAACCTGTCTTCATCAATGTCACAAGATATCCTGAACGAAGCAGAGTCAGAGGAAGATTATAGTCTCCCACCTCACCAGCGATGTGCTTGCCACACCCTCAATCTGGTTGCTACAAGAGACATTGAATGTGCCTTAAGGGAGTCAGAGCCCTTTAAGAAAATATCAAGATCAACTCTTTCCAAATGCCAGGCGTTATGGAACAAGCAGCATAGGAGTACTCAAGCTTCAGATACCATTAAGGAAAAGTTAGGTTTCCAACTAATAGTCCCTGTTTCAACCCGGTGGAACTCAACTTACCATGCCATGGAGCGTTTGAATTCTTGTATAAAGACACAGGAACATAAACTCCACGAAATCTGCGAGTTGCTGCAGGTGACTCGCTTCAAAGCCACAGAACTAACCTTCATACAAGAGTATGTCCAGGTGAATATATTTTGATATTAACTAAAAATGTGCAATGTTTCCATGTCAACATAAATGCAATAACAGTTGTAGTCTTCCAGGTTATTATTATTATTATTATTATTACTATTTTTAATAATAATGATGATAATAACCACAACAATAATAAAATTAACTTACACTTTCTTATTTTTTGTGTCTCTACCAGGTGATGATGCCCCTTGCCAAAGCACTTGATGTCCTACAGTCTTCCAAAATGGCCTACACAGGAGTGTTGGTGCCAACAATCTCAATTCTCCTTGAAAAGATGGAGCAGATGAAGCATGGGATCCACCTACATCACTGTAATCCACTTATAAATGCCATCATCAGTGGGGTTAGAAAGAGATTTGAATATATTTTTCAAGACCACCGGTTGCTCATAGCCTCTGCAGCTCATCCAATGTTCAGGCTGACCTATATCCCTTTTGAAAAGAAGACACAGGTTGTTTCAAACCTAAAAGCGGAAGTGAACCAGCTACAAACCCTGGCTCCAAATTTCATGGAGACGGAGCTTGAAGACCCAAGTGATAATGGTGATGAAGTAACAGGATACTTTCCATCTGTGAAATGTACAACAGTTCAGAACGAGGTGGACATGTTCTTGCATTCATCTGAAACCAAACTAGTCAGTGCCTTCCAAAACCTGCCATTGATGAAGAAGATTTTCCTCAAATACAACACAGGAGTCCCTTCAAGTGCTGCCTCTGAAAGACTATTTAGTGTCGGAAGCGACATTTTCCGTCCAAAGAGAAATCGTCTTTCTGATTCAAATTTTGAAAAGCTTCTTTTGTGTCGTGTAAACAAACACTTGTTGTGAAAAAAAGTTGAGAGTGGGCCCTACACATAAACCCACACACACTCACCTCACACCAAATATTTAGAAGACATTTATTTTCACTGTTTGAAGCTATTTCCCTTTCATCAATCTCTGTAACTTACGAATAATAAGGTTGTATGATGGTTGTTACTATTGTTTTAGTAAACAGATAAGAGACAGTTCTTAGCACAATTCATATGTAAACTTTTTTTTGTCCCAATTTCAGAGGCCATTCTTGCTTAAATACAGCCAATAATGGCACTTATTCACATTTGTTATAATGTATATTGTTATAAAAACAGTAATTTGTGATGGCTCATTGTTTTTGGTGTTTTGGGCTATTGTTCAATAAATATCTACAAAATTTTAACCTTTATCTGACTGACAGTTTATCTCAAATAAGAAGATAAGCTTTATTAATCTCACACAGGAGAAATGTACATGTCACATTTGGCATGGATAAAACACTCAAGAATTGTGCAAAAAATAAGAAATGAGCAAAAAAATGCAGGAAAATATAAAATTGCATGAACTGCAGTTTGTTTAATTGAAAATAGCTTCTATATAGCAAGCTACTTTTGACAGAATTTTGTAACTTAGCTTGCTACATTTGTATGGGTGGTAGCTTCTGTGTAGTGAAGCTGAATTTATTGTAGAGTAGCTTGTAGCTTAGCTCACTACACAAATCAAGTAGCTTGCCCATCACTGGATATAGGTTCAGTATATAAATGATTATGGATAGGTTCAGTATATAAATGATTATGGATATAGGCTCAGTATATAAATGATTATGGATATAGGTTCAGTATATAAATGATTATGGATATAGGCTCAGTATATAAATGATTATGGATATAGGTTCAGTATATAAATGATTATGGATATAGGCTCAGTATATAAATGATTATGGATATAGGCTCAGTATATAAATGATTATGGATATAGGTTCAGTATATAAATGATTATGGATATAGGTTCAGTATATAAATGATTATGGATATAGGCTCAGTATATAAATGATTATGGATATAGGCTCAGTATATAATGATTATGGATATAGGTTCAGTATATAAATGATTATGGATATAGGTTCAGTATATAAATGATTATGGATAGGTTCAGTATATAAATGATTATGGATATAGGTTCAGTATATAAATGATTATGAATGAATAATTTGAATGAATGAATGAATAATTTTATTTCAAGCAAGCAAGCAGGAGCATGACACAATGTCACAATAACGAAACTTAAATTCATAAACGTTATAGTAAACAATATATATTAACACAGATTACATTATTTATTTATTATTATCATTATTTTTTTCCTTAACAATAAAGTAATGCTCTTTGCTTGAAAGGGAGTGAGAAGAAGTGAAACACTTGTTTACTCCCACCCCCAACTACAAAATAAAACTAAATTATGGATATAGGTTCAGTATATAAATGATTATGGATATAGGTTCAGTGTATAAATGATTATGGATATAGGCTCAGTATATAAATGATTATGGATATAGGTTCAGTATATAAATGATTATGGATATAGGTTCAGTGTATAAATGATTATGGATATAGGCTCAGTATATAAATGATTATGGATATAGGTTCAGTATATAAATGATTATGGATATAGGTTCAGTATATAAATGATTATGGATATAGGTTCAGTATATAAATGATTATGGATATAGGTTCAGTATATAAATGATTATGGATATAGGTTCAGTATATAAATGGGTAACTCAGCACGGATGTTCAGAATTCTTTGTTCAGTTTTCATGTAGTTCTAGAGCCTAATAGAGGCTTGATTTGGAGGCTCCGCGAAAACAAACAACTGAGCATGAGCAGCTACGAACAACAGTGCGATGATTGACAGCTCTTGGCATGACTTGATTGGTTAACGTGGACGGCATCGTGGATTCTGAACTATAGCTAAGAAAAGGGAAGGCGGGACTTACCTGTAATATTAGAATGAATAAAATGACTTATTTTATATCAAAAATTAAGGCCAGGAGGTCAATTTAATACAATTCCTAAAATGTGTAATTCATTTAGAGTTACAGACTATCACTTTAAGAAGTTGTAGGATATAGAATGGACAAAAACTAAAAGGCTGCTTCAGTAAAACATGGAGTAGTGAACTGGAGAGAGGACAAAAGCAACAGGTGGTGAGAAGTGTTTTTGAGAGCAAATGTGGGAGGCACATTCACAAGAACATTTGAACTGGAGCAATAGAAAAATCTCTTAAAACTGCAATTTACTATGAGGCAGAGTGAACAGATTATCGTGGTTTCTCTTATGTTTCTAATAGTAGTAACATTTGTGGCATTGTAGAACCGACAAATACTTGACTTCTTTGAAGAATACAGTGCATAGTTGTCTCAAAAAGAAACCTTTCTTGCTCAAGCTTGGGTATGTGATTATAACAAGAAAATATGACAGAGGGTTCCTTTTACTGCTGTGAATTGCTGTGAATTTCTGTTTGTCAATGAGTTGCACATTAATGCTAAGAGCCTGGCAATATATTCATACATCAACGATAATCGTCCTCTACTGGTTCTCGTTACTTTACACTGAGTTATTGCTTCACCTTGATGCACGAGGAGCCCACAATCAGAAAGGTCACTGCGTAAATTTGATAAATTCACACAATTCTAATTATAAAGTTAAACACAAGAACATGTTGGTGATGAAGGCTAAAAAAGCTGACTTGACTCATTAGAAACATGCTTTGGCTTTGGCTCACAATCAGTTGAAAAGATTAATGTGTTTTTCATAATTTGTGGCAAAACTCTGCCAAATAGAGAATTAGAGTAATTGGGGATTTCCTCGTAAAGTACCTTGTGGAGAGAGCTGGAAGGGCCTGGCACCACCCAGGGAGAGGCGGCGGTTGGTGGGCAGCGCTGCCTGAGTGTACGGAGGTGACGGCCCGAGACGAACACCCAAAGAGTTGTTACTGCTGCTGCGTCGCACTGGGGTCAACGTCCTGGAGGAAGTAGGGGAAAAATGGATCCAATTTCTATTCTCAGTATCAAAACTAAAAATAAAACACACTTTTTACAATTGTATACATTAACTCCATACCTGATAAGTAAATTAATAAGTGAACTCTATTTATAAAGTGCATTTTACAGACCAAGTTATGCATTACTGATATTTTTTCTATTGGACATGTTTTCAGAGGGGAAACCGGAGCATCTGGAGCAAACCCACACAGACACAGGGAAAACATGCAAACTCCACACAAAAATACCAAACAAAGTGCTAACCACTGCGCCAATATGCCATAAAAGAAAACGTGATAATATCAAATACCTTTTTTGTCCTAGGAATGTAAACATATAATCAATGAAAATCAAAATTTTTGGATTCAATTTTGGTAAATAATTAAAACAAAAATTCATGTTCATATAATAGCCTTTTTTGTAGTGGGCATGTGAAAGTGATTGTACGATCTAAGGCACTAACCGCGGTGAACGGTCCTGCTGTGGGGACTGCAGGTTCTGTTCAATGCGCTGGTAGTTGTGGACCTGAGAGGGGACTGGAATGGGCAGAGAATGGCCGTGGTTGCCATAGTTACTCCCGGAGATGTCACTCGCCCTGCTCAAAACAAGAGGAACAAACAACACCATTGGCGTCAGACGAGAACACGGGTTTAATAGACTTTGTGTGTTTTGAGACTTGTGAAAGAATTGCAAGCTGTGTTGTGAAAGCATTGTGGTGTGGATGACTGAGCGTCATTCAAATCACGATTAGTGTGTTTGTGCGTTCTTACTAGGGCTGCACAAATAATCTATTTGATTTGAAATTGCAATTTTCAGAGAGCAAAATTGTATGAACACACGAAATGCAATAATAAACATATTGAAAGCATTGGTCCATTGAGGGCAGGATGTCTATAAATGCATCAACAAGGAACGACTTTAGTTTGGTTCTAATGTATATTTACTGTTCGTACCTGACCAGACTTGGAGAGCCGCTGTACACCGGTGAGTGCGGTGGAGTTTTACTACACAAACCAGCTGAAGCCAAGAGGGAGCTGAGGAATACAAGACGACACGGGAAACCTTTTATCAAACTGCGGAAAAAAACTAAACATTTATTATTAGAGACAGTCATCAAATTGCCTCAGTAAAGGTTATGGCATTCTGTAAAATGATTGTTACCTGCTGTTCATGAGGCTGTCCTGAAGCACTTTGCTCTCACAAGTGAGCTCACCTGCTGGAATACGAAAGGGGAAACAAATGGATAGAAAAGGGCATGAGCCAAGATTTGATTCACATTCCTTCCATAATAAATCTGCAGGCTCTTCACCACAAATACACTAGGAGCCAAATAAATCAGAATCAGAATCAGAATCATTTTTATTGCCAACGTAAGTAACGGGAGGTCACAGACTTGGAAATTGCTTTGGCTCAGTGCAACAGTCAAAAAGAGATAATAAAAATAAGAATAAAAAACACTTCTAAAGAATAAATTTAAATTTAAAATAGAGTTACAGTTACTATTTACAATATACAAGTGCACATGGTGCACACAATGTAAGGTGACAGCAGTACAGTGAAGTAAAGTGACGTATGATGGGCAGTAAAGTGACTTTATAAAGGGCGGGGGGACAGGTTAAGAAGTGTTCAAGAGTCCAACAGCAGAGGGGAAGAAACTGTTCTTGTGGCGGGAGGTTCTAGTCCTGATGGACCGCAGCCTCCTGCCTGAGGGGAGTGGTTGGAATAGTCCATGTGCAGGGTGAGAGGGGTCGGCTGTGATACGACCAGCCCGGCCTCGAGCTCGGGCGACGTACAGGTCCTGCAGCGATGGAAGGCTGCGGCCGATCACTTCCTCTGCAGAGCGCACAATGCGCTGTAGTCTCTGTTTGTCCCTGACTGTGGCTCCAGCGAACCACACGGTGATGGAGGAGGTGAGGATGGACTCGATGATGGCCGTGTAGAACTGCACCAACATCTGTGCAGGCAGCTTGGCTTTCCTGAGCTGCCGCAGGAAGTACATCCTCTGCTGGGCCTTCTTGATGAGGGAGCTGATGGTCGGCTCCCACTTGAGGTCCTGGGTGATGGTGGTGCCCAGGAAACGGAAGGACTCCACAGAGGTGATGGGGGAGTCCATCACGGAGGGTGGGGGCGGGGGGACAGTGCTCTTCCTGAAGTCCACAATCATCTCCACTGTCTTCTGGGCGTTCAGCTCCAGGTTGTTACCACTGCACCAGGACACCAGCCGGTCCACCTCCCTCCTGTAGGCGGACTCATCGTTGTTGGAGATGAGTCCAATGAGGGTGGTGTCGTCCGTGAACTTGATCAGCTTCACGGAGTCGTGGCTGGAGGTGCAGTGGTTGGTGTACAGGGAGAAGAGCAGGGGAGAAAGAACACAGCCCTGTGGGGCTCCTGTATTTATAATCCGAGAGTCCGAGACATTCTTCCCCAGACGCACTCGCTGCTTCCTGTCCGTCAGGAAGTCAGTGATCCACCTGCAGGTGGAATCGGGCACGTAGAGCTGGGAGAGCTTGTCCTGGAGCAGGGATGGCAGGATTGTGTTGAAGGCAGAGCTGAAGTCCACGAACAGGACCCTGGCGTAGGTCCCCGGGGAGTCCAGGTGCTGTAGGATGTGGTGGAGGGCCAGGTTAATGGCGTCGTCTACAGATCTGTTGGCTCTGTAGGCGAACTGCAGGGGGTCCAGGAGGGGGGAGGTGAGGGACTTGAGATGGGAGAGAACCAGGCGTTCAAATGACTTCATGACGACAGACGTAAGTGCTACAGGTCTGTAGTCATTGAGTCCTGTGATCCTGGGCTTCTTCGGGACGGGGACAATGATGGAGGATTTGAAGCAGGCCGGGACATGGCAGGACTGCAGAGAGGTGTTGAAAATGTCCGTGAACACAGGAGTAAGCTCACTGGCGCAGTGTCTCAGAGTGGCCGGAGACACGTGGTCCGGGCCAGGAGCTTTGCGGGGGTGCAGCCTCAGGAAGAGTTGTTTAATCTCTTTAGCGGCTATTGTTAGGCTGGGGGCAGGGCTGATGGGTGGGTCGTTAGAGTAGTGGGGGGTGGGGGAGGGAGAGGTGTCAGGGGCAGCATCAAAGCGACTGAAAAATAAGTTCAGATCGTCAGCTAGCTTGTGGTCATCAGCACAGGGGGGGGCTTTGGGTTTGTAGTTGGTGATCTCCCGTAGGCCCCTCCAGACAGAAGCAGTATCGTTGTTACCAAACTGCTCCTGTAGTCGTTCTCTGTGCCGGGACTTGGCTGCTTTCAGTTCTTTCCTGAACTGATATTTAGCTGCTTTGTAGCCGCTGCGGTCCCCCTCCCTGAAAGCAGACTCCTTTGCTTTCCTGAGCTGCCGGAGTTTAGCAGTGAACCAGGGTTTGTCGTTGTTATAGATGACCCTGGTCCTTGTTGGAATGATGCTATCCTCACAGAAGTGGATGTATGACGTCACAGTGTCCGTATATTCATCCAAGCTGTCTGTGGCAGCTCTGAAAAGGTCCCAGTCTGTAGATTCCATGCATGCGCGTAGCTCTTCCACAGCTTCATCAGACCACACTTTGGAGCTCCTCACTGCAGGTTTCGAGAGCTTTAGTCTCTGTCTGTAAGCAGGAACCAGATGTATCATGGAGTGATCTGAGAAGCCGAGGGCTGGCTTGGGAACAGCGCGAAAAGCTCCGCGCACGGTGGTGTAACAGTGATCCAGAGTGTTCTCCTCTCTGGTCGGGCATTTGATAAACTGTCTGTATTTGGGTAATTCCTGGCTCAAGTTTCCCTTATTAAAATCCCCCAGGATAATAATCAGAGAGTCCGGGTATAAGCGTTCCATACACAGTACTTGCTCTGCGAGTGCGCGCTGAGCCTCGCGCGCGTCCGCGCATGGCGGTATGTAAACAGAGGCAAGAATGAATGAAACAATTTCCCGCGGGGAGTAATATGGTTTACAATGAATGAAAAGATATTCCAGAGCAGGAGAGCAGTGCTTGGAGATCACTGTCACATCGTTACACCAGTTTGTATTGACGTAGAAACAGAGCCCTCCGCCTCTGCTCTTTCCCTGAGAGCGCACAATGGCGATCCGCGCGAAACAGCCCAAAGCCCTGCAGCTCCAGAGCGCAGTCCGGGATCCGCTCATTTAGCCAGGTCTCAGTGAAGCAGAGGACACAGGATGTGGCGAAGTCCTTGTTTCTTCTCATGAGCAGGCTGAGTTCGTCCATCTTATTGCCCAGTGAGCGTACGTTGGAGAGAAAAATGCCGGGGAGAGCCGTGCGCGCTCCTCTCCTCCTAAGACGCACGAGCAGGCCTCCTCGCTTTCCCCTTTTACGGGCCCACACTTTTTTGGCTAGAACATGAACTAAATCAGCCGCAGATGCCAAGAAAACAGGCAATAGGTCCATGGGAACGGTGGGTCGGATGTTCATAAGTTCCTCACGGGTGTAGGAACAGCCAGATGCACAGCCAGATGCACAGTTAAAAAGTAAAAACAAAAGAAAAAGAGAGCAGCAAAGAGCCATGTCGACCGTACGAGGCGCCATCTTGAAGCTGTGTCAATTCAATATGAATCCACGATAGCGAGCCTTTGTTGGCAGGACTACATTTGCAATTCTCGAGAAGACTTTGTGGTGTCATTGTTAATTAAGATAAGAATCCATAGCTGTAGAACAAAATAATGTGGAGGTGTAAAAATGCAAAAACGAGGCCAGTAATGAGTAACATGTCAGAGCTATGTGTGGCATCTACTCAAAAGAAAAGCAATTAAAGATGTGCTTGTATGTTTACAAACTAGTATATTAAGTACAAGCATTTTTCTTATCATCTTATATAATAGTATAATTCCACTACAATCTAAGTGTCTCAATTATGACACAGGAAAATATTAGTTAAAAGAAGTGCGCGAAATGAGCTGAGGAGAACAAGGAGATGCTGCAAGATAAAACTATTGTTCAGACATATATATTTTCCAAAAGGACAGACTGCTTACTGTAATTGAAATATGACTCACATTCATTTCAGAAGAATCGCAAATCTATAGGAGCTAATATGTAGATGACATGAAAGTGTGTTCATACCCTACACACTTTTGCATGTTGCCATTTCCAACACAGACAAAATTATCACCCAGTTATTCTCACTGATGTCTGCTGTCGTTGTGTCCTTGGGCAAGACACTTAACCCCACTTTGCCTGAAGCCCCCGCTGAAAGATCAAGGCTCCTGTGGACTCACCACCTGCAGGAGGATCAGTGAGGGGCTGGTGCTCTGTGAACTGGGTGTGGCTCTGACTGCACCCGTTCTTGACTGCACTGTCAATATAAACAAATCATCTTCTGCCAAGTAAGTGGCAATGTGTTCTTAGTAAAAAAAAAAGATAACGGCCAAAACTTTTGATATTTTGATTCACAATCTGTGTGTCTCCGCCATAGACTGTAAATATTAACGGACATAGTCACACGTATATCTGCCGTTCAAACTAATGTGCCACAACTTTTGTTTCGGTTTAAAAATGGCCCGGGGGCTGGAAAATGTGAAAAAAACCTGCATGTACGAATGCATCAGCCAGCACTCGCCCCATTCATTTGACGAGTGCCTTCAAAATTCCACTGCAGCTAGACTAGACTGGTCCAAAAAAAATAAACTCCCCTCAGCACTCATACACATGTGAAACGTAGCGTTGGGCCAAGAGCTGACTTTTGGATCATCCTGTAAAGCAGTTTTTTGAGAGCTAAGAAGATGCTATACATTAGCATTGGCTAATTCTTATTCTGCAAGCATGTCAGCACACGTCACTTTGGATATTTAAACTACTACTACTACATAGTGTTTGATGAATAACCCAAACTCACTGTTAAACTGAGCCGGAACCATGACAAAGTCGTCTGTGTCGCAGGAGGAGGAGTTCTTGCTGCTGGCCGCTCCCCCTGATGAGTCTTTGAGGAGTGCGGTGGCCTCCTGTGTGGGAGAGGCCAGCGGTTTGGGACGCACCTGCTGTCCGTCAGCCAGGGACTGCTGCATGACACACGGAAAGGTCTCCAGTCAGCGGCACATCAGATATTTGAAAATGAGAAATATGAGGAGGCTGTAAGTGACAACAAACCGGAGGTGAGGCCAGGTGAGAAGTGGAGGAGCTGCTACAGGAGCTGGCAGAGGCAGAACCGGGGAAGCAGGTCATCGTGACTGTGGGCGTGGCTGCTACAAATTATACACACACTTTAAGATCATGTAAAAAGTCATGTATGTATTGCATTTAATTCTCTCCAATATATCTATCGTCTATGAAAATGCTCCATTGTCCTCCTCGTACACAATTACTGGATAAAGGTTGATGTCCTTAACTTTGCCGAAACTTTGCTCATGCAATTTTTTCCTTTTCAAAGATAGATAACTGTTATTCGTCCCTCAATGGGGCACAACAGTGTTGCATTTACAGGAGCACAATTAGCTGTAAATACTTCTTTAGCTTGAGCTGTAAAATCTTCAATTCACTGATAAAATGGATAAAACTTAAAATGCACTTTAGGAGCAAACTCTAATATGTAAAACTATAAGTAAGTTCACTAATGGCAGATATATTTCAACTTTATTCTACCCAGGATCCGTTAATGGCGGGATATACTTACTCTTTTTTATTGATGAACTCGCCTCGAGGAAAGGGTGACTGAAGAACTCCTCTGCAGCAACAATTAAACTTATGTGAATCAACAGTCAAGTATTCAAAAGAGCAAATGATCAAACAAAAAGGAAAAAGTCATACAATAATGCAACTGTGCAGTGAGTATCTACGCCATCTATATGTAATTCATAAATTGATCTTTTAATTCTTTTTTTTTATATATATTTAGTTGACAGACAACTTTGGTTTGTTTAGAAAATGTGCTCTATAAGTGGTGTCCATAAAAACAATCCTCATATACATAGATATAGTTATGACTGACCGTAATCCATCCGGTCTTTGTAGTTGCGCTGCAGTAATCCCAGCAGCAGATGCCTCAGATGGGACGAGGTCTCTCTAGGGATACTGCACCAAAAATAATAAAATGGCCATGTTGTGTATAATCTGCAAGAATAATCTGAGCCTGTTTAAATTGCAGCGTCTTACTTGGGAGTGAGGTGAGTATTTTTTTCATAGAACAGCCGAAGGTCTTGTGGACTGCTGGCCTGAAAGTAACAAAAACACCCATGTTATTATAGCTACAGTACATTTCCCCAGGGAGTGAATCCTCGACATTAACAAAACATTTGACACTTTTTAAAATGAGCTTTCCTAATTAGGTCAACGACAGAAATGCAGCCAGACCGGTCCCAATAACCCCAATTATGTGATGTAACCTAGAAAAACAATGCAGGATCCAACTCCCAGCCGCCCACGCAAACGGAATGCAACGAGACGCGTGGAGTTGACATGAAAAAAACAAAAGCACGGCTCGGCCCCAAACAAACAAACTTAGGCTGTTGAGGAAGTGGAACAGTGGCTGGCGCGCACACAGGGAATGAATTGAACTGTTCGCTCAGCTGCTTCGAGAAACCGACGACCATTAGAGCCGCAATCATTAAACTCATGCAAAGGCAGTCTCTGAGCAAAGGCTTTATAATAGACTTCTTAATCCTGCTAAAACAAAGTGAGCAAACCAAATGAAAGAATTAAAATGCTTTGCGGGCATAAAGTGTGAATAATTACTGTACAGGCCGGCTTCTTTTATTATTGTTTTTTGCAGGAACACAGAGCAGCAGAGTTCTTTTCCCGAAACGGTAAATGTATTCATTACATGCAAATGTCTTTAGTATAATATTGATGAAATAAATTTAGAAAACTCACTTGAAAAGGCGCTTTCCCGGTCAGACACTGAAACACTATGGTCCCGATGCTCCACAGATCGGCCTTGGCGTCGTAGCTATGGGACATGATCACCTCTGGAGCCTGGGAGATCAAACACCAAGTGGTTACCTGACATGTACTTTTAGTAATAAGACAAACTGTGTGTGTGTGTTCAATACAATAATATACTATACAATATAAATCCACTCAAATGAAGTGCATACCATGTACATGGGAGAGCCACACAATGTTGCTGCCATCATGTTGTTTTGAAGATATCGGGCAAAGCCAAAGTCCGCTGAAAGAGGAGTACATCAGATAATTTATATATATAGTTTTTTACTAATGTTTGCTAATTGCAGATTATTATGACATTATGTTGATAAAAGGTGTTAAATGGATGAAAACACATTTTCTGTACGTACTGGTTCTAACAAAATAAGCAACATAGAGCACAGACCTTCGCAAAGAGGTACAGTCTCATTTGCTTCAGGCAGGACGGCTATTTGAATCATTAGTTTTGTAGCCACAATCTACAAAAAGGAAAGACTGCAAAGATTGAAGTTCTTTGCACAAAAAAATGTGGCTAAAGTATAGAAAATAAAGGGTCCCGATTTGAGATTGTTTTGAAGATTTGTCAATGGAAACAGTATCTTTCATCTTGTTGTTGGACAAAAAAATGATGCACACTCCAATTAAACATTCTTTAGGTTGTTATTTTTATTCGGTTCTGCTAATTCAAAGATTTCCTCGAAACATTTTAACAATCCACACATGAGGTTTTGAGTTGTGTTTCTATCAGACAGACAGACAAACATTAGCAAACACATAACACCATGGCAAAGGTAAGTTGAACATTAGAATTGGGGGAGAGGACTTGAGTGAACTTGGAACTTGGCTTGTACTAAGCATGCCTTTAGACACTTGGGGATTAAAACGCTGTGTGTGACTCAAACCGACGGGTCCCAGACTGCTCTTTCCCACAGGGCAGTTTATTCTCTCCAGAGCTAAAGAATTACACAGCTTTCAGATTAGCTGACTTTCAAAACATGCAAATACCATTTAACAGTCCTGCTGTTTCCTTTTGTCACAGTGACAACTTAAGACTAAAATGTTACAGAAAACAGCAGTCATTTCATTTTGCAGTACGATTATACACTAATGCTCTCCTTATGCGTCTCCAGGGCACATGCGTCGTTTTGGGGACATGAAGACATTATAAGTTACAGCACACTAATAAAAGTGTGTCGAAGCATGACAAATCAACACGTTTACCACAAATAATTAAAATACAACATCTCAGCTGTCAACCACAAAAGCTGTAATTACAGAATTGATTTTAGGAACAGATCAACAATATATTTATATATATAGTCATTTAAAAACTACAGTAGTAGTTGAAAGTTGAAAATCAGAACGACTTAATCAGATGTCAGATCAGAATGAAGATTCAGAGGATATGTTTGAAGCAGGATACTTAAAGCAATGAAAATTGTAATCAAAGATTTTGTTTTGATTACTGAATAATTTTAAAACCTTGATTATGAGGATCAAGGATTAATCAATGTTATCTTGATTAATCCTTGATCCTCATAATCAAGGTTTTAAAATTATTATGATGGGCCCCAAAAACCCCCAAAACCCTTCACCCCTGTTCTGGCGGTTCTGTGGCGCCCGCAGAGACAACTTATCGTACAATGTCATCTTTGGGCAATACAAACATATGTTAAATTGCAGTAATCGTTTCAGCCCTCATTAAAAAGACGGCTGACTAATATGTATTAGGAGTTACCGCAGCTATCATGTTTTAACTCATGGGGGAAAACCAGAGCACCTGGAGGAAACCAATGCAGACAGTAGGAGAAAAACAGGACCTTCCACTCTGCCACCGTGCCACCCAACAGATATGTTAAGTCATATGTTAGTGGGCAGAGTGACACGTACCAATCTTGATGCAGGTGTTGTTGGAGTGCGACTTGCGCCCTGGTGGGTAGGACAGTAGGATGTTCTGTGGCTTGAGGTCTCGGTGGATGATTCCTTTGGCCTGGAGCACTCTCATGGCTCCTGCGATCTGCTGCAGAAACACCCGAATGGTGTCCTCGCTCAGGGTGCCTTTAGCTACACACACAGGGAAATCAAATCTGTTATTGACATGACATGAACCGTAATACAATCCTTCACTGGGTCATAATTTAAATAAACTAGGCCAAAAAAATAAAATATTCTTGAGAAGTGATGAAAAGCCATTTTTGTTTTTCCATTTTGTATGAGACTGTCCGTACGACACAAACGTTATAATTGAGCCATCGATTCAGATTATTTGCCATTTGTAGTTAAAAGCTAAAATGGAATATTTGTGCAAAAATACCCAGTCTTCACAGCAACTACAACAGCTAACAAAAATATATAGTAAATGTAATTTTCTCACAAATTGACAGTGTGAAACAGGGAGATTTAAAAAACAAACACATACTAAAACTCACAATAAACTACATAAACTCTGCTCTTATTGTATAACGCAAAAAATGTGTATCAGCAAAACTGTAGGTTGACCTTAAACAACACAATAATTTGTCCAAAAACAAGACCATAAAAAAATTACAGTACAATAAATGGGTGTTTTATTGCAAAGGCTTCTCATGGGCTCTGTATTGTCAGTGAAGATGTTTTGGGGCTGAATCTGTTTGGGTCTGTGAGAGGAGATAAAGAGCTGCTTCCTGTTGCCTGTCTGTGTCCAGCCTCTGTGTTTATGCCCTCTAGCTCCACTAACGCCCTTGTTTATTTTAGCTTCACCTTTTGCATGACTTCACAGTTTGCTTCAAAATAAGAAACAGGGCAAACCAGGACATTGTCAAGCCCTTTAATCCCTCTCTCTAGTGTACAACAGAAAAAATACAGAGAAGCACACGAAGGTTTCCAATATTGCGAACACTTATTTAGGAGTCAAACTCATCCCATGTTTGCATCCTGCTCGACAAAGGGCAAGTCCCACCTGGTTATGGTTAGGTTGGTGTAGTTGTGGATAATGGTTCTGTTAAAATTATTAATAATGATACTATTTTCAATATGTATTATACATTGTACTTATATAGTTCTCATATTTTTCTTTTTAAACATATTTTGTTATAGAAAAGGGACAGGTTAAAAGGTGACATCTGCAACTTCAATTGTACTTCATACAGTGTATATAGTAGGGCTGGGCGATATGGCTGAAAACTGTATCACAATATTAGTGATTCATATCGGTCGATATTGATAACTATTGTTTTTTGTTTTGTTTTAAAACCTAAATAAATACATTTGTCGTGTCGGCGCACACACGTTAGCAGCACTTGTTTACAGTCACAGGGGAATGAAAACTCTGGAGGCAGGGGGCTGGAAGCATCTGTTCACAAGCACTGTGTCCCCCATTGTTAGTCCTGGTTTAGCTCCCGTCTTGGCTGTTTTAGAGTGTCTCGCGTCCCCTTGACGGTTCCAGGCGGCTCTCTGATAGCCGCACGTGCTTCCCGAGGAAAAAGTTGATCTCTTGTTTTTGCCGCATGCAGAGTCTCTGTGCCCACTGCCTCTACCACGCCGAACATGCTGCTCCTCGCACGGACGTGCATAACACGCCATTGAAACACTGTTGCGGTTGTTTTTTTGTTTTACGGTTCAGGCTCGACCGTGATAGGTCGAGAAGCCTCTGCCTACGTCCCCCAGAAAGCTGCACACTTCTGACTTGGCTTAACTTCCTGTGTTGTGAAGTTAAACAATCGAAAATTCTATTGACCCCATTTTCTATTGATATTAAACACGTGTCTATCGCGATATATATCATTATTGTTTTATCGCCCAGTCCTACTATATAGGAATACACATTTTTTGACCGTATGACCAGAGTATCATTTAGATTTTTCATAAATAATACATCAAGCATCAAATACATCTGTCCTTCCCCTTGGCATAACCACTACCGGTGAAATTTTCAGGAGGAGACCTGGCCTCAGCCGTCCATCCAGGATTTAAATTAGTTGCGGACTCACTCCACAGTTTTGGAGGTGGAACTAACTGGCACCTTAAAAAGTAACTGACGTTCACTTATGGTTACTTTCACAGTATGGTTTGGTTATCCCGCTACCCAATAGACCAATGGCTTCTTTAAAGTTTATTATTAGTGCATTTCCTGTGTTCTAGTTGGCGAATTGAAAGGTTTTGTGTTTTATCAAATGCTTACAGTATTAGTCTTAAGTAATTGTAATACATATTTTCACAGGTTAATATAACATATATACATGTTTTGAGGGTTGTTTTATGAATGCCTCTTGGCCACGACAACCAAATATAAAAAACATAACTTACAGTGCAAGTATTCAGCAAGGTCCCCACCATTACAGTACTGTTGACAGAAAAAACACATATTAGGATACACAAAGGATTTGCATTTTGGGCGGTTACACGTTATTTTTTTCCTTTTTGATGTGCCATAAAAAATCTGGTTCAGTGTTGGCCACTTGTTTGTGATATTATTGCCCGACCAGAGAGGAGAACACTCTGGATCACTGTTACACCACCGTGCGCGGAGCTTTTCGCGCTGTTCCCAAGCCAGCCCTCGGCTTCTCAGATCACTCCATGATACATCTGGTTCCTGCTTACAGACAGAGACTAAAGCTCTCGAAACCTGCAGTGAGGAGCTCCAAAGTGTGGTCTGATGAAGCTGTGGAAGAGCTGCGCGCATGCATGGAATCTACAGACTGGGACCTTTTCAGAGCTGCCACAGACAGCTTGGATGAATATACGGACACTGTGACGTCATACATCCACTTCTGTGAGGATAGCATCATTCCAACAAGGACCAGGGTCATCTATAACAACGACAAACCCTGGTTCACTGCTAAACTCCGGCAGCTCAGGAAAGCAAAGGACTCTGCTTTCAGGGAGGGGGACCGCAGCGGCTACAAAGCAGCTAAATATCAGTTCAGGAAAGAACTGAAAGCAGCCAAGTCCCGGCACAGAGAACGACTACAGGAGCAGTTTGGTAACAACGATACTGCTTCTGTCTGGAGGGGCCTACGGGAGATCACCAACTACAAACCCAAAGCCCCCCCCTGTGCTGATGACCACAAGCTAGCTGACGATCTGAACTTATTTTTCAGTCGCTTTGATGCTGCCCCTGACACCTCTCCCTCCCCCACCCCCCACTACTCTAACGACCCACCCATCAGCCCTGCCCCCAGCCTAACAATAGCCGCTAAAGAGATTAAACAACTCTTCCTGAGGCTGCACCCCCGCAAAGCTCCTGGCCCGGACCACGTGTCTCCGGCCACTCTGAGACACTGCGCCAGTGAGCTTACTCCTGTGTTCACGGACATTTTCAACTCCTCTCTGCAGTCCTGCCATGTCCCGGCCTGCTTCAAATCCTCCATCATTGTCCCCGTCCCGAAGAAGCCCAGGATCACAGGACTCAATGACTACAGACCTGTAGCACTTACGTCTGTCGTCATGAAGTCATTTGAACGCCTGGTTCTCTCCCATCTCAAGTCCCTCACCTCCCCCCTCCTGGACCCCCTGCAGTTCGCCTACAGAGCCAACAGATCTGTAGACGACGCCATTAACCTGGCCCTCCACCACATCCTACAGCACCTGGACTCCCCGGGGACCTACGCCAGGGTCCTGTTCGTGGACTTCAGCTCTGCCTTCAACACAATCCTGCCATCCCTGCTCCAGGACAAGCTCTCCCAGCTCAACGTGCCCGATTCCACCTGCAGGTGGATCACTGACTTCCTGACGGACAGGAAGCAGCGAGTGCGTCTGGGGAAGAATGTCTCGGACTCTCGGATTATAAATACAGGAGCCCCACAGGGCTGTGTTCTTTCTCCCCTGCTCTTCTCCCTGTACACCAACCACTGCACCTCCAGCCACGACTCCGTGAAGCTGATCAAGTTCGCGGACGACACCACCCTCATTGGACTCATCTCCAACAACGATGAGTCCGCCTACAGGAGGGAGGTGGACCGGCTGGTGTCCTGGTGCAGTGGTAACAACCTGGAGCTGAACGCCCAGAAGACAGTGGAGATGATTGTGGACTTCAGGAAGAGCACTGTCCCCCCGCCCCCACCCTCCGTGATGGGACTCCCCCATCACCTCTGTGGAGTCCTTCCGTTTCCTGGGCACCACCATCACCCAGGACCTCAAGTGGGAGCCGACCATCAGCTCCCTCATCAAGAAGGCCCAGCAGAGGATGTACTTCCTGCGGCAGCTCAGGAAAGCCAAGCTGCCTGCACAGATGTTGGTGCAGTTCTACACGGCCATCATCGAGTCCATCCTCACCTCCTCCATCACCGTGTGGTTCGCTGGAGCCACAGTCAGGGACAAACAGAGACTACAGCGCATTGTGCGCTCTGCAGAGGAAGTGATCGGCCGCAGCCTTCCATCGTTGCAGGACCTGTACGTCGCCCGAGCTCGAGGCCGGGCTGGTCGTATCACAGCCGACCCCTCTCACCCTGCACATGGACTATTCCAACCACTCCCCTCAGGCAGGAGGCTGCGGTCCATCAGGACTAGAACCTCCCGCCACAAGAACAGTTTCTTCCCCTCTGCTGTTGGACTCTTGAACACTTCTTAACCTGTCCCCCCGCCCTTTATAAAGTCACTTTACTGCCCATCATACGTCACTTTACTTCACTGTACTGCTGTCACCTTACATTGTGTGCACCATGTGCACTTGTATATTGTAAATAGTAACTGTAACTCTATTTTAAATTTAAATTTATTCTTTAGAAGTGTTTTTTATTCTTATTTTTATTATCTCTTTTTGACTGTTGCACTGAGCCAAAGCAATTTCCAAGTCTGTGACCTCCCGTTACTTACGTTGGCAATAAAAATGATTCTGATTCTGATTCTGAAAATGATTCTGATTCTGATCATATCTTGGGAGAAGCCAGGCAACCCAAAGAATTCATATTTTGGAAAACATCTTTAAAAATTAAATATAATGTTTTACGGTTGTACATGGTAAATCCCTGACACCTTCATGGCAACAAGTGAGAAGCAGATCCCGACAGAAAATCTGCCCAGTACACTATTAAAAATATCAATTTAAAGGAGAAAGTTGCTCTGGTCTCGTGCTTGACTGACACAATCACAATCATTCTATAATCTGAAAACGACTTTATTATGTGTCATCAGATAATAGGTCTATGTGAAAAACTCATATTTGATTTCTGAACAAAGGTTTATCTATTTTAATTAGTAATACAATGAACATGGTTATGTTTAAAGCATATTATGAGATGGGGGAGCAGAATGAGGCTTTTGATTGGGTTGCATGTTTGTTAGGTGTAATTAGCTGGTTTTGGCTTTTTCAGTCTGAACATTCACAAACATAAAGATATCCTCTCACAGAATTAAAATAATTCAGTCCAACATAATCCACAAAGTTTGCTGAATCAGTGCTACATGTGTCAGTGGCAGGACGGCATTATTATAAATTCTGGCATCAAAATGTAATTGTTATTATAATGACTTTGTTAGTGCCCATACTGTCGCTTTAATTTTACATTTCAAAATACATCAACAATCACTGAGTCATGCAAATCCTATCCATTCAGTCGCAACATGTCAACCTAAGGTCACATAAACCCTTTCGGGCTGGGGACCATAATGGTTCCTGGAGCTTCAAGCTAGTGTTAATTTTAGCCCAGCCCTGTCAAAGCTGCTGACAAAAGCTGGGACAATGCAACCCAGGCAAACAAAGGGAGAGGCTGAAGTGGGCTTACCTCCATCACCAGGTACACTGAGCTGGCGGTTTCCTGTAGAGAGAGAAGATAAGAGTGTAAACAAACATATGCCACTGGCGGACAATGGATGGAACAGCTGTCAGAAAATAACAGGGCAGGATGGCCTTGTAATGAATAACCCGGCTGGATCAATTAAAAATTCATACATATATTCATACATATATAGAGCGTTTGTTTTTTTATGCAAGACACTATTAATTGAGATTAGGGCTGTCAAAATTATCGCGTTAATTCACGTTAATTACCGTTTTCATTAATGCGTAAAAAAAAAATTAACGCATGTCCGAATGACCCGCCCATTTATAAAAATATCAATCAGAATGCGTGCGTGTGATGGTGACAGCGGTAACGTGGTCATATAATACACATATATATATACACGCACAGGAGCCATTCTCTGATGTTGTGTGACACACGGAGGAGAGGAGGAGACACACTTAAATGCAACCACACTCGCAAAATTAAAGCTGGGGTACCTACATTTTCCCTTTCATTAACAGCTCTTGTTGGTTGTACCCAAAAGTAGAAGGTTGTGAGCAAGTCAAACAGATTTAAGTACATTTGGTCTGAATAGCAATGTGTCATTACATTTGAAAATCTCATTTAACTTCAATTGGAGTGGATTTGAAATAGAATGTTAAAAATGCGATTAATCGTGAGTTAACTCACCATTACTATGCGATTAATCAACTAAAAAAAATTAATCGTTTGACAGCCCTAATTTAGATATTTAAAAGAGTTCAACCAACATAGTTCACAGTTGTGTTTACTAAAATGTGCCTGGGGAATGAGAATGCGGGTGTGGTTGGCTTGGTGTGTAACAACAGCAATGACAGATATTGGGTTAAAAAAGTTCAAAATGTCCTGCCGCCATTGTTGTTTATGAACAACAATGGCGGCAGAGCCAGGCACAGCCGCATGTAAAGTTGTTTACACACACAGGGACTAAGACAAAGATTGTCAGAGAGTAGGATCTCTCACTCCTCTGTGTTTACTTGTTGCAGCATAGGCAGCAGCGCTCAGAGGAACCAGAGGAGTTCGCATTATTGAGAATAGACAATAATAAATACAGTAAAATGATATTATGTGTATATAATGTATTTGTATATATAAATTAGTTTTTTTTTAGTTTCTTTTGTTTTACATATTTTACAGCTGTGATACAGAAGCAACCACAGCCTCATAGACAAACTGCTTGAGGAAGGGCATCAGGAGTACAGCGTTTTTGGCTTTTATAGAGGAATTTTGTAAAAAGTATAATAGTTACGGATTCAATTTTTTTCCCCATTATCCCCAAGACCCTAAAACACATTTCTATGCAGTGTAAACAGTTGTTTATAGCATTCCATTGTGTTTTTCAATACATTTTTGTGAAATTGATTTTCCGTTTCAATTTTTTCTTTGTCTTCATGACTCCAAATTTTGTATATAATTGATATGACAGCTCTAAAATATAGATATTCTAAAACCCCAGGTTGTACTGAAAAAAACAAAGTATACTGCTTGACTCTGCATCAAAAAATGACTCTTTTTATGAGCAATTATACACAAAGAAAACCAGGCGAGGAAAGTTCCCCAAAATGACCCTAGACCTTGGAGGGTTAAATGAATGATGCTGGTGGATTCTTTCACGTCTTTGCTGTGGCCTGAGGAGGATGTTGTTGAGGAAGTGATTATACCGCTGGGAGTCACGCGTGTCATGTTGAAACGTTCCACTGCCCACTACTGGCCAGGCGCTAGAACTGCATTGTTTTCTGTTGTGTCTAAACAGCAACACTTGAATGCAGGAGCCTGGTCGTTTTAGCTGATTGCTTTGCAGCGTCTCTGCAGCGTCTCTGCAGCTAAACGGGGCCTAAGCTAGGCTAGTCCTTTATCACATGGCGACAGATGACTGTGGTGCCACTCAGGCCTCACTATAGTATCAATTTGAACAACACGCTAGGAGTGAGAGAAAGATAAGACTCGTGAAGTGATGGGTGATGTTTTTTTTAATCAGGATTCATCTGCCAAAATGTACTTGTAGTTGTATTTGATATAAGGGAATTTAAATTATATCACAAGGAACGGATTGCCTTGATTAGAAGGCAAACACACTGGCTGACACGGACAAAAGCAACAGCTGATGGATAAAAGCTGTTTTGTGGCTCTCTTGTGCTTAAACGGCTTGGCAGATGTTTGTCAAAGTCTATTTGCTAATCTGCAGGTAAAACCATGCCTCCTGCTGATGACTCCATGTTGCCTTGGAGCGCAACAAGTTTACAGGCAGGGCACACTCAGAAAGTACTTTGCCTTCTCCATTCAAATACAATAAGGCGCAGATGACTAAGTAGTATACAGTGGTTTTCACAAACAATGTTATGTAAAAAATAAATAATTCATCATTTTGATTACATAATAAAGGGAATGTGAATCTAGCATAGAAAATAAGTTGGAAGAACATTAACTCATTGACTGCCATTGACGTGTTAACACGTCAAACTAAATAGTAACGTTGTCTGCCAATGACGTGTTAACACGTCAATTGCGTTTCCCGCTATTTTTACGTTCCCAGCTGTCCATTGAATCTAATATGTGGAGATTGGCTTGAGGCAATACTTTATGGAGCCAGCAGATGGCAGCATTGCGCTATGAATGGTTTGAACACAGCTAGATGCACTGTTTGTGGCCCTTTTTTCTCAGCTTTCTGGTGATTTCAATAAAACTTCCCTCTACTCAACTGGGGATTACAGAAGAACTAAACAAGATAGAAACAAAATTATTTTTGCTGGTGAGAGTAGACAGCCCATTCTTTCAGAATCTAGTTTTAGATTTCAGATAGTCAAAGTACACAATATTCTGTGGGTCTTGAAAAATCAGTAAAAACCACCAGAAACGGCTGGCAATATGGGAGTACCTGTTTTGAAATGGGCTGGCAGTCAATGAGTTAATAATAAAATAATAAATAATCAGAGTTATGCCAATGTTACTCTATTGTTGAGGACAATGTGATCATTCTGAAATGGTAATCGAAATCTGGAATTATGTTCAAAAATACAAGAAAATAATACCACCAAAAACTGTATCAATAACAAAAAAAACTGTTGAAGAGGATCACCGTCTGTGTTTAGTAAATTTGGCTACGGCAAAACTAACAAATGTATTTACCATATGCCTGTAATTTGTTCACTTTCTTTTCTGTCGTGGTTGTTAGAAAACAAAAATTGGATGAACATCAATAAAAGCAATTATTATTCCAGAATTTTGGTTGCATTTAGCACATGGCAGAAAGAAAGCGAAGTGCAATGCTAAAACCACCATTTATGAAGGGTGTTTAAATTTATTTTTCTTTATATGATAGGAGCACATCCACACTTCATCCTTGGAAATAAACAACAGGAAAAAGAAATACACAAATGTAATCAGGCGCCTGTAGCTGTAATTTACTACAGACGTCCTTGACCAGAGAACACAAACCTTTCATTTCAACTGAACATACACACATCTATTTGAGGAGGACCGAAGCCGGTTTAAGGAGTTAAACAACCCCTTCGCATGTGGTCTAGAGCTGTGCCGGATTTTGAGGTTAAATATGTATTAACACCAATTATAACACTTTAGGTTTGAAAACGTTTTGCTCACTTTTGTTGGAAATAAAAATGCATTTTGTAACATTTTATGTTATATGGGGTGAATATAAATTGTGTGTCGGATTATAAAGTCTAATAACAGTTTGTTACATGAATAACACAGGTTTGAATGTGTTTGTGGGGATGGAGCTCACACACAAAAGTATAGCATTACCTTCACAGTTTTAAGCCTATTCAAGCAGGCATTGTATTCATGGCAAAATGAATAGACTAAATCCTATTCCGAGTATGGGTTTTTGTATGTATTCAGTTATTTTCCAGCAATATGAACCCAAAAGCTGATGTGACATACAGCTGCGGCCTCATTGGACACTACTAGAGTGAAATTAATTTTGAACATTTCCCTGAAAATTTTTTAAATGCTCAACTGTCTTTCACCTTTAATCATACTTTGTGAATTGTTTTGGGTTTTCTTTGTCCTGCTTGCCTGCCATTGTAGGGAGCGGTATCATTAAAATCACTCGTATTCATCTTTTTGTTTTTTTGTTTTATTATTGCATCAATAAATGTAAATATTTTGATTTCTTCCTATTGTAACGCAAAACTGATATTGATGCCTACCCCAACTGTCAAGATACAATTTGTTTAATCTAAATCGATAAAATCTACCAAAATAAGAGATAATAAAAACATCTTGTTCATCACCTTCTAGGGAAACTTGAGTCATGAAAGTACAGGACAGACCTAAGCCGTCATTGCAGAGGTGACACAATGTAAACAGAGAAAATGCATTTCAATTCAAAGTGTAACAGGGAGGATAAAACCAAGGACAGACGCAGCAGTGTGAGTGAGAGCATTTTCATACCTGAAAGTCCAGTAGGGCAACAATGTTTTCATGTTTGAGTTCCTGTGAGAAAAGAAAGTCAGGATATGAGATCGGATCAATTCACTAAATGGATTTCCTTTACTTTTTAATTCATGATTCAAAGAGTGGCATTTACTGCAGCTCTAAAAATCACCTGAAGATTATGGCGGAGTAAAGCATTTAGACCAGGGGTGTCAAACCGGTCCTCAAAGGGCCGGTGTGGCTGCAGGTTTTAGCTTCAACCTGAGCAGGAGCACATCAAACTCCACCCATTTCCTCAGGTGAGTCCAGTTTTAACCTGAAGATTTAAGGAAATGGGTGGAGTCTGGTGTTCTTCTTCCCAGGTTGGTCCTAAAACTAGGGTTGGGCGACAACAAAGAGCAAACATGGCTGAGGGCGGCGGTGAAGACCATGGTGAAGACACGGAGATTGTAGAAGACATTGTGCCAAAACGCGGAGCTACCTCAAACATATGGGAGTAGTTTGGGAACTAGATAAAAAGAAGCAATTGTGTGTAACTATCGACAGTGGATCTAATGTTGTGAAAGCAGCTGCCCTAAACAACTGGACTCAACTGGCTTGCTTCGGACTCTCTCTCTCTCTCTCTCTCATAGTGCCATTGGTAAGCTTTATTTACGGTTTACTGTCATTCATTTTACTTCAATGCATGTGTTTGTCTACATTGCAATATAATTACAAATAAGTTATAATTACATAATTATAGAAACGCAAAAGGATACAAAAAATATATACAGTATTTGATCATTTTGACTATATTGGGATTAGGAAACATAAAAAAGTGATCAAATAATTATTTGATAATGCTACACTTTTTATATTACAAAGGACAAACTTTTATATATTTTACAAATTACAAATGTTCACCTTTATTACATGTTGCCTGCAATTTTCAGTATGTACAAAACAGAATTCTCTACAATTCAGTTTTGTTAATACGTTTTATATACAATAGCTGTATTACACATTTTGCTGCCAATAAATTAGTAAATGCACTTTGAGGCAAGTGTGTTTAAAATTATCAGTGCTAAGTTTTTATAGCTTTTATATGAGGCTTTGTTAAAATTATCATATCGTCATATCGTGATACATACCAACAAAAATCGTGATACATGCTGAGGCCCATATCGCCCAACCCTACCTAAAACCTGCAGCCACACCGGCCCTTTCTGGAACCGGTTTGACGTCCCTGATTTAGAAAATATCACATATGCAAAACAAAGCCAACAGACACAATGCTCAATGCTAGAGAAGCAAGCAGATCTCTCTTGTTTTTGTATTTGCTGCATAACTTGTGCTTACTTTGAGAATTTTGATCTCTTTCCCCAACAGAGTCTGGGATTTGGCCAAGTTCTTTTTGTTGATACATTTCACTGCCACTTCCCAGTCGTGTTTCTGCAAAGACAATGAAGTCAAAGGATTAATCATTGGTCATAAAAAACTCCACATTGTTGCGCCGTTAACGTCAAAGGTCTGTATTCTATGTTAACTTAGTATGTTTGGCTGAGATCCACATGTAAAATGCATTAATTTACATTTTTAACAGTTTACACAGACTTGGACTAAACATATATCTAAGCTTATCATCTGCATGTTGATGTTATTGATTATTTTCTCTAACTAAAAATTGTTTGCGAGATCCACATGTGGTAATAATCCAGATGCATTTGCAATATCAGACTCTAATCCAATTATTGACTCTCGCTTTTGCAGGTTAGGGACATGTAATAACATGTTCACCAGAGCTAGCATCGCCATGCTTACACTCAGGTCAATAACTCAATTGCAGAATTTTACCTGCAAGTAGTATGTAAATGCATGTATACATTCATTCAGATCCTTTTGCATAGTCCCCCCCCCCCCCCTATACTTTTAGGAGCTACATCTTTTCTGTAGAGGCATAATCTATATGCTAGGCCTCATCTCTTAAGGACGTACGACGAAAACAAAAGATTCGGACTTAAAATTAAAAGAACCACGTTGTAGTGTGTATACGCAATACCTTTTATATTGTTTTCTTTTTTTTATGTACTGTGATTATTTATGATTTTAATGCTTTCTTGTTTTGTTCAGCACTTTGAATTGCCTTGTGTATGAATTGTGCTATACAAATAAACTTGCCTTGCCTTACCTACTTATACTTTTATCTTGTCATTATGATGGTTAAATATAGCATTAAAAACTGAAATATACACAAACAATACCTCCTTATTTCTGCCTTTGAACACCACAGCAAATGCGCCATGTCCAACCAAGTCCTTTCGGCTGAACTCGAATTTGCCCACAGTCTCCATGATGATGAGGCTACTGAGACCCGGGAGTGTGCCTTGGGTGGATCTTGACCTGCTGCTGGTGTATAGTAAGAAGAGGCACTTTCTCCTGGGTCGAGTTTGGGAAGCAGCAGCAGCAGCAGCAGCTTGGATGTCCGAGCCCTCCTCCTCTTGCCATGGGCTGCCTTCCTGACAACAAACTGTCCTCCTGTCTCATGTTCACACGTAACGCGTTGAGAGATTAACTCCTAATGAGGCGGTAAACGAAGCTCTATCGCTGGCATTGTGAAGGTTAGGGTTATAGAAGGAAAAATCTCTGTGTATACCGTCGACGAGATATGACGCGGTGCCACCTTAAAAGCAGTTCGCAGCGTTTGTTTATATGTTGTAGCTGGCGTTTTTCGTCTACGCAACGTGAAAAACGTGCATAATTACGCTACACTAACTTACGCACGTCCATGGTATATGAACGCTGCAAATATGTCGTCTGAAATGCCAGTAAGTATCCAAATGCGGGCGACCAGCTGACGAGCAGAAGTCGCAGTTGCTGTCCCAACAAAGCAGCGCTTCGTTCAAGAGCAAGAGCGCATGCGCACAAGAACTAGACTACAGCTGTGCCGCATGACGTCACGGGCAGCCTGCCTCCACCGTCAGGGCTCAGATAAAATACTTGATCCTGTTGCATGGCATTACTTGAAGTTTTGTTTCACATACATGCTCCATAATATTGTCCTGACGCACACAATAATGTTGTCCGGTGAAGGTGCATTTTTCAACTCTCCTGGTGGTGCCAGCCTGGCCTTAGCCATCTGTACACTCCGCTCAATAATGTAATTTGTACTATGGTGTGGTCCGACCAGGCGAGGTGGTGACCTGCTTTTTGTCAAGTGGTTCAATACCGTCTCCTTGCTTAAGCTATGTTATTGCTTTACTTGAAAAGTGAGATGTACATTCCATGGATCTATAATAATATCGGTACATACAGGGAACAAAGAACCATTGAAAAGTTAAAACATTTAAAACATACTTGCATGTGAAAAACACTTAAACTTAAAGTGACTTTTTAACTCTGCTGAGAGTTAAAAAGGTAATATTTGTAATATTTTACCAATGCATATTATTTGTTGCATTAGGTAAAACATCAAGCCAGTACAATTGAACATTTAATATATGTATCTTTTAATGAATGTTATCAAAAAAATGTCACTTTTTGATAACATTCATTGGTCTGTACTGTATATATGTATATATACAGTACAGACCAAAAGTTTGGACACACTTTATTTTCTTTTCATGACAATTGACTGTAGATTCACACCCATATGAGCTTTTTGACCAATAAGGAGAGTGATGGGTGCTGGGCCAGATGACCTCAATAGTCATGAAAAGAAAGAAAACTCATTGAATGAGAAAGTGTGTCCAAACTTTTGGTCTGTACTGTATATATATACCAGAGAAAATTCCTAGTTTGTGACTAATTGTTGGAAATATAACTTTGATTATATATATACATTTTTTTTTTTGTTGAATTTAGGACAGTACATATGAATCAATGTGTCTGCAAACAGTGTCAACAACAATATGCTGGACTTAGTGCAATTAGTGGAATTAGCTAAATTGCATCCATTATCTAAAGGCAGGGGTAAGAAACACACAAACACACAGTGAGGTAAAAGTACAAACAATAAGTGGAGACTGATAAGTTCATGACCCAAACTGAGGAGCCACTAATAAAACCTTTTGAGGCACCCTCTTAGGATGGTTGGATTAAGGTAAAATGTTGGATGAGAGTTTAGTCAGAATTGATATGTGAAGCCGAGAAGTGGACCATGTCATACAGCTTGAGGGCTGACAGAAATAGCACTATTCAAAATCAGCTATTCATGAACTCCCAGGACAGAGAGATCTAACAAGCACCAGCCGAGGCAGAGAGCGGCAAGAAATCTTTCAGTGAAGGCCCCAGGAAAAAGGAATGAACACGAGCAGACTGGAGCATTGATTTAGGGGATGCGACCCCTATGTCTACTGTGGCTACTCCTAATATTAAACACAGTTGCAGGCCATGAAGTCAAACAGTGAAGCAACATCATTTCTTTCAGCCAGATTACAGGTCAAAGCATGACAAACCCACACTACCCCACTACCCTCTGTCTCAGATGATTTATTGTTTTTTAAACCTTGAATTCCCCTGTAAGCGGAAAAATAATTGTTTTCCTTTTCACTCCATGGAATAAACTTGTTTTTGCAACATTTCTTCTGTACTGGACTATGGAGACCTTGTATGAATGCACAAGTACACTGAACTGCACTCTCTCTGTAGCCATGAGGTGGCTCACACACTGCTACAGGTTCATTTATAAGGATCTTCTACCTCCGTACCTGAGCATTTAGTTGCTTCAATGTTCTTAATCGTGCAGCTATAACTTTGTGTATTTTTCTTGTATCAGTATGCATGTATTGTATGGAATGTTTTGAGGGTTGCATTGTCAATACTTATTGGCCATGACGCTCTTGGAGAAGGATGGAGGAATGTTGGTAAAAGCTGGATGACTAGTTTAGTATGAGACACAGATGAGTATGGCTTTTGTTTTGCTGCTGTTTAGCTAGAGGAAGTAGCCTGCAATCTATGGCCCTATATCTTCCAGACAAGTGTGGAGAGCTGATGGCAGAGGCGAGGGGGAAGTGAAGTCCGTTTTTATGTAAAGCAGTGTGTTATCAGCGTAGGAGTAGAATGATACACTGTGTTTCATGAGAAGCTCACCCAGGGGAGCAGTATGGTAAGAAGAACTGGACCCAGAATAGAACCCTGTGGCACTCTATGCGTCACTGTGTGAGGAGTGCTGAGTTCTAAGTGCAAAGGTACGACTGGAACCAGAGGAGGTTGTGCCATAATATCCAGCCTCTGTCCTCTGCCCTGTGTCGGTGGACCAGGATATTGTGATCCATTGTGTAAAAAAAGGCCGATAAGTCCGAAAATTGAGTCCAGACTGGGATTTCCTAGTGCAGAGGTGATAAATGTTAGCTGGATTGTATTACGCTAAGACAACTTACCGTAATGTTTGATACATGTTATATTAAGCAAAATGCTATGAGCTATGAGCTATGTGCAGAAACACAATATGTTTAGAAACACAATAGATTTGTTACACTAGACCACTCAATAACTAAGTCGTTTCTACTGTTATTTCTCAGTTGTCTTGTGCCAATAATAAGTGCGTTCGTACAGATTTGGTGCTAGATTTGAGAACTGTTATGTGTTACATGTAGCTTTAAGAACACATTTATAAATCAGCTTCAAGTTTTCTCCGGGAGCTTAAGATGAAAAGTTGTTCAGAAAAACACTATTTTGAGGTCTGAAAATCTCCCAAGGCCCTGTGATGTGTGACATATGTTTTCAAAGATTATCCTGGTGAGTGCTGTTAAATGTACATGTATTTGTCAATGTAAGGAAACGAAAAAAACACTTGCGATATCATTTGACAATGCATGGTTGGCTATTAGTGTAGAATTATACATTCCTGTGTGGTATTCGTCAGCGCAGCAGGCTACAAAGAAACTGATGCATCAGGGGGTTTTGAGAGCACACATTGTTTTTCCATTTTGCACATCACTTGTAGTTGGCAGTATCTTTTTATTTTTTACTAATCTCCCTAGCATGCTAAGATAATTAACCCTAAATGTTGTAGATTTGAATGTTTTGGAGCCTGATTGATACAGATTTAAATTTGCAATAATCAATCAAAAGGATGGATTTGGAGAAAATGTCCATTTTTGTCTATAATGCCTTAAAAATGCATTAAATTATGGACAACATCAGATTTATTTATAGGTTTCAGAATCCACAGACTTATACACTAATGTTGGTATCAAGACATTTAATTTCATGGTTAATCATACTGCATTTGCATTGAATGCAGTGGCGGCACTTTGGGATCTTATGAGATAGTCCTGAAGAGGGCAGTAGAGAACCACAAAGGGCCTCTGAAGTTGGAGCTTCCAACTTGTCTTACTCTTTCATTTTTGTGTCTGGTGACGCATTTAGAGCCTACAATATTTTTTATCTCGTTGTATGTAAGATAATCACTTATAATCACAGGGCGGCACGGTGGCTGAGTGGATAGCACTCTCGCCTCTCAGCAAGAAGGTCCTGGGTTCGAATCCCGGTCGGACCAGGGCCTTTCTGAGTGGAGTTTGCATGTTCTCCCCGTGTCTGCGTAGGTTTCCTCCGGGTACTCCGGTTTCCCCTACCACTAAAAATATGTCCAATAGTTCTGGCATGCACCTCCTGTACTGGTGACCCCGCTCCCATCTCTGTGAGGAGTGAGATACAAATGCCCAAAATTAACGATTGTAAACCGCTTTGAGACTCAGCTCTGCAGTGTAAAGGCGGTATATAAATAAAAACTTACTTACTTACTTTGTAAAGGTGTATTCATAATGTTCGACGGGACATTTTTTCTTTGTGATCACTTTCAAGTGATGATGCAGATTTATGACTTCTGACCTAAAAACATTCAAACAGCCAAAGAAATTTATTCATCAACATAACTTATCCTGAAACTATTCTCAGCTTGGGTCTTTAAAACCAAATTCTAATGCCAAAGCGCACATCAGACCGGCCTTCAGAACCTAGCACTGACCTTTTATGTTGCTGATGTCTCTGATGGAAATAGTTTTTTTAAATCCATGCTTGCCATTCCACATGTTCACTCGGTTATTAACAAAAATGAATATGGAAATGAAGGTTGTAGACAGTACTGTTCACTCCAAAAGAAACCGTTTGTACAAAAGAGAGTGAGGAACTGGTTAGAAGGATTTTGATCCTTCTAACCAGCCCCAGTCTTCTGAGTATAGGACAATATGGGAAATTAACTAGACACAATCTTTCCTCATATTTGCACATGGTTAATGTTTAAGTAAGACTGGATGGATGTTGTACGTGCAATGAAGTAATAGCAAAAGTTCAGACTAAATAACTTTTTCTTCACAGTCCCAATCTATTCATTTCAATGATATTCGCTCGG